ATTTTGTGTTTGCCAAACGTTTTTCATGACACTACAGTCTATTGGGGAAAATGAGTGTGGTTAAACCGGTCACGCAAAGATTTTTACTTTTTTGAGGCACTTCTTGATCATTTTAAAGCACAATTTGTGTAGGGCTTCAATATTACACCGTATGACAGACACTGGTAGCACACAGGACCGTGCATCTCAGATTTAATGTGTTAAACGATGTCTCTGAAGGCATTGTTTAACAATGTTAAATCTGAGCTGACATGCATGGCCATAGCAAAAATCTTTGAGTGACCGGTTTTAACATACTCATTTTCTCCAATAGACTGTAGTATTATAAAACGAGGGAAACGCTTTCGGCGGTCTCGCCTGCATTACGTGATTCGATATGATGAAAACTTGAGGTTGGACCATTATTTATAGGCAGGGTGGCCCATTAGCAGGCCTCCAAAAAGGAAATCCTCTGAATATAATCAGCATTTTGAAGTGAATATTGACTAAGAATCATCAGAAGAATTATTTACTATTAATTGTACCACGATCGATAACTTGAATGAAATATGAACAAATTAATACAAAAAATATTAAAAAGTTTACTGACCTAAAATGACCTTTGACCGTGTGACCTTGAATTTGTGTCATATGATTTGTGATACTTGATAATCCTTGGGTACAATTTTCATGGAATTTGTACAAACAATTTTGAAAATATGCTAAAAATTCAAAATCTAACCGTGGGTTAAGTTTTTGATGTTGACGCCGTCGCCGTCACCGGAAAAGCGGCGCCCATGTCTCGCTTTTTTTAACGCAGGCGAGACAAAAACATTAGGAAAAAATTTCCAATCAATAATATTTTGATAATCTTTTTGACAAGTTTTGCTTAAATTTCTGTAGTCTGAACACAAGTGAACAGGACATGCATGAGGCCCACTTGCAAAAGGCTGACAAATTTGCCCAGTGTGCCAGGTACGTGAACATGTTCTGAATATCATGTTTGATAAATAACATGGACAGACGTGTACAGTATGAAGACAGAGTTTTTAATTGAGCAGATCTTATTTAATAGTATCTTAACATTCAGAGAAGATTGTCTGCAGTGAGAGCTGCCATGCATAAATAAGCTGTGTTCACCTGAGACCATCATACTGTAAACGTTGTTATGTTCGCAGTTTTTTGCATTAAGCGATCTCAAAACATATTCGCGGGTTCTTAAATTCGTGTTGCACGCAATTCAGCCCATTCAAAACACACATAAGAAGCCATGCTTATATATTCACAGGTTTTAATATTCGCGGACACCGACTTTAGCGCGAAATCCGCGAAAATCAAAGCACTGCCAAATTTACCACGTTAACAGTAGTTGAAACATCAAACTTATAACTAATGAACCAAGAAAAATGTAGGACTGAAATAAAAAAATAAAAAAAATCAAAAATTCAAAGTTTACACTACAAGCTAGCATAACCTGAAAGTTTATTGTGCATCCACAAGGCATGAACTGTAACTTTGAATGAATTTTAAGGCAAGAATTTTTAACCGACATCGCTTGATCGCTACCAAGGGGTAACCTCGCTATTCATAACGTGACTTGAGGGTCGCTATTCATAATTCACATTGAGAGACATTACTCACAAGGACCGCTATTCATAATACAAAATCAGGGTCGCTTTTCATAAACATGAAGAAGGGGCACTATTCACGATTTATACTGGGGGTCACTACTTATAAGGACCGCTATTCATAATATGAGAAGAGGGTCGCTTTTCATAATACAAGAAGAGGGTGACTAGGGACCCTCTTCTCGTATTATGAATAGGGACCCCTATAAATAACTACCCCAATTATGTATTAAATAAAAATAGAGTTATGGTGTGTGATTACTGAACACGCTTTACAATTTCCATTCACAATACCTCACACAATCATAATTCTACAGATTCAATCAGTTTAATTTTGGCCATTACAAGAAGTGGGTTATTGATGTAGAGTTGTAGACAAATGCTCCTGTACCCTTTACAGCTCATTTCATGTACTTATTACCAAAGAAGAAAAACAGGCCAGTCAGTCACTCAATAGTGTCTGAAAGTGGAGTCTAGCAAGTAAACAGGTTTCCTTGCATAATTTCAATATCAGGACACTGCTCGTTTAAATTTCACAGATAGGACATGACAAAAGGGACATATTATCTTTAAAGCTGTATTTCCAATTAACATATATATTGAAACTGAAATGTACATATTTTGGGGGTGGAAATGATATTTTGCAACACCACATTCAGCTTCTTTTCTTTCTTTGACCCTTTGCATTTTGCAATTAAGTGGTCATTCATTTCATCATTGTAGACTGCCAGTATGTAAAACATACGTAAAGTACAATGGTACTAGGGCAGCAACGATACTCAAACACTTGAGTACTCGCACTGTTGACAACTACTTGAGTACAATTTCTCGTACTCAAATACTCGGCCGCCATTTAAAAAAAATATCCAGATCACCTGGCACTGTCCAGGCTGATGCTTACCCGTGACCGGGAGCTAGCGCTGGCATGGTATCGTGAGTAAAAATGTTTCCAGCTCAATCATTGTCCACTCACCACTCAGACACTGGGACTTAATGTCTGGATTTCTGTTTGGACTCGGATGAAAAGTAGTCCGTCATCTTTGGTTTTAAAAACAGCACTGTTTACTATTATTAGTATTATTAAATTGGCGCCTTCAACTGCAACTCCAAGTAAAATCATGTGAGTTTCTGGAGACGGACCTGGAATACTTCAACCGTAGTATGGTGGTGGCAAAAAAAATATATACCGGTATGTATATTTTTGTATAATTTTTAAAAGAACTTGGTGTCCGACAGTATTTGAGTATTTGCCTGTAAGCCTGGGAGTGTACTCGAGTACCTCATTACACGGTTATGCACAGCCTTAATTTTACAGTTTTATCTGTATGCGCTTACTCCCAACAGCCGTTTGCTATTAAGATATTGATGGAAATACATGTAGCACGTGTATGCATGCACGTGTACTTGAATAATTATAAAGAGACACAATGATGAATTTGTCAGCTTTTGTGAAAAAGGGAGGGAAAAAACAAACCGACTGTGATGTGAATAGACCATCCACCACCAAAGAGAGGGACCTCTTTGACTTGAACTTCATATTATTAAAAAGAATTTTAATTAAACAACTCACCATCTGTATGCACTTGTTGTATTGCGCATTATCATCCAAAAAAGATGAGAAAATTGAAATGAAACAGGCAAGAAAAATAATGACTTTTAAATCATGACCATCAAACAATTCATGAAAAGTTTAGTTGATATTTGGTATGTTATACGGTAGTAGGGTATCTCCAGGTAAGAGTCACAGGCCAAAGTCTGGATACTATTCTGAACTAGAGCGCCATCAGTTTCAAGTCGAAACTAAATTTTTCCTTTTTCTTATTTATCCAAAACAGTATAGAGTAGAGTCTCCGGTTTGCGGCATCGCCCGGTTTGCGGCCAGGGGTATTTGTTTTAAAAATAAAATGAATATGACTCGATAATAATCATTGAAACCTACCATGGATTCCACGGTAAGTTCTGCTTTGCCGAAAACGTCCATAGCAGGTGCTCCTGTCGGTACGGAGTATCCGTCAGCGATGTCGGAAATCTACGGCACCAGTCGCCGATGAAAATTCCAGCAGGTGCTAACTTTTAAGTTAAGAGATCGAGGCATGACTAGATCAATATTGTAGCTCTATTTGTCCGATATTTGTCCGATTGGAGGTGAAATTTGATGTTTTTGTGGAAGTATAATGGCTGTGGTCTGTCTCCTATCGCAGATATTTTGATTGTGCCACCGCATGGCCAGTTGCATGGGGTGGCCGCAAACCGGCACGTAATTACGTGTTTTTCTGGTTTGCGGCGGGGGGTGTTAATACACACATAACATGCGGGATCGTGTATGATGGTATGTGTGCTGATGTGTGTACCCGCTATGACCCGATAGTTTCTAGTAGTACTTACCCCCGGATGGGATGATCCATTCGAGGAAAAGGTGAAATTGTTTAAAACTTGACAAATTTACCGTAGCAACAGATAAACATGAGAATTTGGGTTACCCGTAGTAATTTGGTACATGCTTTCATCGTGACGTAGCGCATAAAGCTTTGTGACGTACGCGTGCCGCAAACCGGTAATGCGTGCCCGCAAACCGGGGAACTCAAAGCATCTCGAAACGTGGTCAATGCTGACCACGCTGTGGGTCAGTTAGGTTATTTGTGACTTCCATTTAATAAGTAAGTATATGGACTCTTTATTGAGGGTATTGAAGTATTCTGTGAGTATTCCAATAAAAATAGAATTGGCAGTTCCCGCCGATCGGCCGCAGACCAGAGCCACTACTCTACATGTAGGCCTATACAGAAGAACAATACTAAAAATATACTAAATTATCTTTTTTTACAATTTTTTTTTCAGATCAAACAATGCTTTTGCATAACATAATAATACTCTTTCATATTAATTACTTAAGACATACATTGTGTAGTAAGCCTACTACACCTGAGGAGAGAGAATTACCATTTCTGACAAGAAAAACAACAAAAATACAAACAAAAACACAAAAAAAAAACTACCCATCTTTTCCACCCAACATGCTACACACTGTATTCAAACAAACACACAACACCCTCTTACACCCCTTTCTCATTACACTCACAACCCCCCCCCCCCCCCCCCCCCCCCCTCCTCCTCCTCCTCCTCCTCCTCCTCCTCGTCCTCCTCCTTACCCAACCCCCTCTTAACCCTCGATATGTATTACACATGACTGTAGACCTAGCTATGTTGATAATACTAATCTGCTAATGAACGAGTATGATGATAGGCAATCAGGCGAGTAGCCGAAAGGAGTCGAGGAGTGCTGTAAATGGTGTGTGGTATACAGAGCTGCAGAAGCACTTTTATCAATGTACATTAAAATATGTTAAGTTAGTGCAAAACATGCAATTAAACTTACAACTATACGGTACTTACCGATACAGGAGGGTGTCAAAATCAAGGCCGCATCATTCTAATGAAGGGTACGTACTGGTAAGTGGTATACTTGCAGCACAGTACAGAGCCTATAGGTCGAGAGCATGCATATAAACATACCTGTACCAGGGACTTGGGATACATGCAATAGTAGGTTATTAAAGTTGTTAGCGATAGATGACGCTCTTCAACCCGGCGCGAAAGAAATCCCTAAATACATGTAATTACTTCAATTAAGAGCAGCTGCTATACAGTAACAGTGTGTATAAAAGTGTACCTAACTTTGGTAGCTTATAAGCTATGTGACCTTAAATCATATTTCATTGTAAAGAAAAAATAATACCCTGTCCAATGATACCAGTTATTGACTATTGGGCAGTTCAAAAAAGGTAACTCCAGGATATGCTCACTACAAGCAAAATTAAAGATATTCTTTTCGTTATGATTTACTTACTCCATTCTCATCCCTTGCTTAAGTTAATATTCTCATTCAATGCAAATACACAATAGTTACATTTTATTTGGGATGTTATCTTTGTTAATGAAAGCCTGGTGTCAAATTCTTTGATATCATCATTTATCTGTTCTTGCTTGCATTTGGGTTCAGTAACATCTGAGATTTAATTCGCTATTCGAGACACCTTATAGGCTATATACGCGACGTGTAAAATGGTGCAGTGGACAAGTGAGCAGAGAGATTTCAAAGTCATATTCGTTATGACTTTTTAATGAGGAGCTACCAAAGTTGTGTACACTTCTTTCATACGCACTGTAAAGCCACCCTCTGTAGTCCACCCCAAGAATTTTGAAAATATTTATTCGGGCAACCGTTTTCGTTTGAGAGTATTTTGGGGTAGATCGATGGCATCGATATTATTTTAAATTTAATTTTTTATCTATTTACCATCCGACAATGACAATGTGACCGTCATAAAAACTTGAATTGGCAATTGTAAAACAGAAGGCACATATCAAATATAAACATTAAAAATCATGTACAGATACAGTCCATCACCCCCACCCCCCCCCCCCCCCCCACCACCACCATTCCATAGACGCTTACAAAATCAGACAATATTAATACAAAAACTTTGTGTTGTAAATCCGGGAGTGCTTTGAATACAAGTCATGAAGATACATAGGCCTACCTATAATCCTACCTATTACTAACAACATTTTGTTTAAGTTTGACATTAAATAAAGTAGTATTTTTAATAGAATTATCATTGAAAGTTTTAGGACCAGTTTACTGAATTGATTGAATGTTTAAAGAATTTTGAGGTTTTACAGGTCGAAATTGCGAGGAATTGCGTGTGGCATGCAAGGGAATGATAATCAGATTATATTGAGCGGAAACATAATTATCATGAAATAAGAGTGAATATAATGTTATTAAAGGTATAATGCAAAGTTTTGGGGAATTTTGAAAATTGGATTTTAGTAATTATTTAAGATTTTGATTTATTTGGATGCACCTTACATTGTGAACACATAAGGCAAAATAAAAGCAATGAAATCATAATTTGAAAATGACATTGTAGCCCTGTAATATTTCATTATTTCTCCCATAGGCGCTTCAATACTTGTAAGGGGTTTTGTTGTTGTTGATTTTGTATCTATTATTGATTTTACAGTTTGAAAATATATAGTGTGATATTGTAACTTGAAGCAATTATCACAATACTACACGCACTGTCTAATCCGTTTAACAGGCGGTGACAAATATTATTATATACATATATAATTATATTCGCGACCTGCTGCAAATGTAATTCTCTGAAAGACTTCATTTTGCTGTTCTTGAAGTATTTGAATATAGAACGGTTTACTAATAATATACTCAAATGTTATGCATACTTTTTAAACAAACTTGTTCTTGACAATTGAATTTTCCCCAGGCCCTTCCCAACAGAAAAAACAAATCTTTTATGTGCCCATGCCTTAAGCTATACTTTTGCATGGCCGTACAGCTTCGGCAGTCACGCAAAACAAACACTGGCAAATTATTATTCAATACAATCTGAGAATGTATAGTATTATCTAGATCTATTAGGAATAAATCATCGTCAAAATAATTCCATAAATTGGGTTAAAACAAAAATATTCCAACTTTATGAGCAACAGTGTATATTCATGTATTCTGATATCCCGAGTGTAATCAAATTTTCTATCGGATCAGCATTAGACCATTTACCGGTAGCTGACATGTATTTTAACAATGATATGAAAAATTAGACTGAACCATTAAACCATAAATTTAAGTCGCGCGATCAGACTCAATTTATTTTCAAAATTTAGTTTTCAAATTTTTAATGTTCTACATTCGAAAAGGTAATTGAATTATTACTTTTAAATATTATTGGCATTGTTTTTTTTTCGCGAAATTTCTTTCGATTAAAAAAATATGTATTCACTGAACGTTTTCCCACGTCTGTTTGGCCATTTTTTTTTTTTTTTTTACCCAAGAGCAAGGTTTGTCAAAGCACAACAAATGAGAGAAATAGAGAGTTAGGGGTGGGGGATACATAGGGCGATCGAGAGGTCGGTCATTTCTTCTCCTTCTCAATCATCCTCCTCATATCAAGTCCTGTATAACTCAACCTTGTTCTTCTTGTTCTTCTTCTACTTCTTCTTCTCATTAACTTCTTTTCATTACTCTATATCTCCTTTTCCCCATTTTCTCTTCCTTTTTGTCGCTTCTTTTCTTCCTTTTCTCCCTTTTCTCCTTCTTTTTGTTTCAGCTTCTACTTCTGTCTCTTCTTCTTCTAGCTTCTTCTTCTTCTTCTTCTTCTTCTTCTTCTTCTTCTTCTTCTTCTTCTTCTTCTTCTTCTTCTTCTTCTTCTTCTTCTTCTTCTTCTTCTTCTTCTTCTTCTTCTTCTTCTTCTTCTTCTTCTTCTTCTTCTTCTTCTTCTTCTTCTTCTTCTTCTTCTTCTTCTTCTTCTTCTTCTTCTTCTTCTTCTTCTGCTTCTTCTTTTTCTCCTTCTACTTGCCCGGTCTCCTTGGAGCTGCTCCCCCCCCCCCCCCGTCCCCTTCTCTTTTGACGATGATTTTATGAATATTCATTAAACACTGTCTTGTGACGTACCACGGCGACTGCTGCGGTGACTTTCATCATATTTTGCACTTCTTTTTCAGTCTACATATCCAATTTTGGCAACCAGAAGGCGATACCAATAGGTAATTTTAATTAGCACTGTATATATCCATACTTTATATTTTTATATGACCCTCTTAATCTTATTTTAACAAGGTATTGTGGAAGTTGTGCAATTGTGCTTCGCACTCATGCCTTGGTGTGGTGTCCCACACGTTGAATTGTGTGTAAGTCAGTAACTTCCTGCATGCTGCATGCAATTGATTGTTTCTGTTTGTCGCTCCAATTTGGGGTATAGCTGAGGGGGCTAGGAACAGTGTGTGGTGGAAGTGTGGTCGGGTGGTGTGTGTGTCGCATGGTGGGGAGGGGGGGGGGGGTAATGTTTGGTTGGATGGGGTTATTTGTTTAATTACATTTACAACTAGACCTAATTTCATTTTTGTTTTCATCAATTGTACAATTTATGTAATCAAAATGTTTTGAATTCACAACTGTAGACTATTTTATTTCTAAAATTAATTTGTATTGTTTAGAATCAATAAAAAAAAGTTATCTAGACCTCTACTGTAAAATGTCTCAGATCCTCATGTCTTGTCATGATCATTACGGTACATAACACAGGCGTAGTCAAAAGTGGTCAATGCTAAATTGCTAATGCGTATTGGCCGCAGGTAGAGGTCTCCGGCGAGAGATAGTTTTTAGGGACAGATCCAATCCATTGATCATTGGATTGTGATACAGAACAACAAAAGATATATAGATTTTTATCCTCAGGGCTGTGTTTTTCTTGACCTACTTTCCGTTCAAGAGGAGCTACAACATCCGACACATCTAGTCGATCTCGGGGCCCTCCCTGCATCTCTGCAAGTCTTTTTGGCAATTACCTTTTTCGCGTCAGGGGCACTTCTGAGAGCTATTGCAACACTGCATGGCCGTCGGCTCAGTATTTCCCCCGCCCCCCCCCCCCCCCCACTCAGTGTTATTTAGGTATATGCATACATGCATGTTCCCTCCTTTTGAAAACACCCCCCTAAGTTCGGTGTGTAAAGTCAATACGGGCCAGATTTTTGTGTACTACGAGCCGGACTTTGGTGCGTGAAAAGTACCCCTTTACCGGACACTTTGGTAACACGCATGGGGTCCCTCCGTTCATGGAGTGGGGGGGGGGGGGGGCCGGGGTATTTCCTCATCGTCAAGGGCAATACATTGGCTTACCAAGGCCCTATTTCAGAATTTTTGGACATTTTTGGAATAACTTAGGCAAACAAAAAAAGTCATGCTGAAGTATATAATAGCTTGTGACTACTCAACGAGCTATGGAGAGAAAGATGTCGCATTTATCTCTGCGAGACAAAATTAATCACAGAGTCATACGCCAGAAAAGAAAGGTTAAAGACATGGAGAAGGTCAGAGAATCAAAGTGGAGATGGGCTGGGCATGTAGCAAGACTTCAGGACAATAGATGGACAAATCGTTTAACAGAATGGCAACCTAGGATGGGAAAGAGAAGAAGAGGAAGGCAGAAGATAAGATGGAGAGATGACCTAAAATCATACATGGGAACAGCCGCTTGGACTAGGACAGCTAGAGACAGAAGAGAATGGAAATGTTATGAGGAGGGTTCTGTCCAACATCTGGATGAACTATAGCCTGATAGATAGATAGATAGATATAATAAATTGAGCTACGAAACAAAGACAAAGTCAAAGATACATTTCCTAAAGATTTTGAGATTTTTTTTAATTGTTTTTTGATCTTTTACTTTATTTTACATTTCAATTATTATTTTATGAAGAAGAAAACAAAACGTCATGCATGGTTAGCAACTCACTTGACATAAAAATAAAGGTATTTTAATTTGTTATGGCCAAATCAATAACTATTTTATGCTAATTCAAATGTGAACTTAAAAACCTGCAACTATCATACTTCACTGTATGGAGACATTTGGAGATGGTCGGGTCAAAGGTTAAAGAATGTAAAGATCAATTAACATACCGGTATATGTCTAGGCTGTTTGTTCTAATGATATTCCAAGATTAATTCAAGCCGTGCTCTTAACTGAATTTAGGCAAAGCCATATTGGAGACCCATTCTTGTTTTTTCATTTTTCTTTGAGAAATAATTCATTTTGAATACCGGTATACATGTATATATTTGTCTGAAATGCAGGTCTGTGTGAAGTACATCGTGATTAGTAGCCTGAAGTGAGATAAAGATGCAATCCCTGCTGTCAGGCTGTGCCTCCATCTTGCTGCTAGGGGAGGCAAACTTCTCCTTCTCACTCTCCCTGAGGAAGATGCTGCCTCCCAGCGTCACCATGGTAACGTCCTGCTACCAGTCAGAGGATCGCATCCCATCCAATGACCCTGGTATCCCGGAGAACATCGCTCAACTGCAGTCATTGGGTAAATACTAGAGCTGAGATGAGACAAATGGCTAATGAAATGATACTTGTGATTGCAGTATTTTTTTACTTTCAAAATATGATGAGACACCAAAAGACCAATTACTTTGGAGTTGCTGCATGGGAGTCGGGCTAACTCGGACCCTGGGACAACTGTGCCGTTACGAATACGAGGCCGAGTTGTTCTGGCAAGATTTATTTTGTTATCAAATCTTGTAGGGTTAGGGTTAGGGTAGGGTTTAGAATTAGGGTTAGGGCTAGAGTTAGGGTATGTTGGGACAACTCGGCACCGTATTTGCAGCGGGCCGAGTTGTCCCCGAGTCCCGACTTAGCCCAGATCCGCTGCATGAGTTACCCTATTGATTGTCTACATATCATTTGCCGAGAGTCTGAAGGACGTTGGGTCATTATACTTCAAAGTTCAACCCCTTCTTTCCCTCTGCAGATTTTTGCTCTGTTGCAGTTTTCTAACTATACTCTAAACTCTTCATGTACTATTATCTACTGCACAGGAGCTCGTGTCCTCTACGGGGTCGATGCCACCCAGCTTGGCCAGTGCTCCTCACTAGAGGGAGCCATTTATGATGCAGTCATCTTCAACTTTCCCCATGTTGGTGGCAAAAGTAATATTGGAAAAAACAGGGAGCTACTGAAGCAGTTCTTTGAATGGTAAATTTTCTGTCTTTATTTATGTTTTAACCACAATTTCAAGAATTCCCAGAGCTAAATCCCTAACTGCTTTACTGTAGTTTTTCACTTTTAATAATAATAATAATCATCTAAATTTATACGGCACTACATTAAACTGTGCTTTACAGATATTATTACCCCGGTCATCTGATTCATTCATGCATAATCTGCACCATCTCCACTCCCTGGGGAGTATTCCTACCATATGGTCACCGAGAGGGAATATTGCAATTACTAATACAAATGCTTTCGTCATCCTACTGGGTCCCCATTTATCTCCTGGGTATGGAGTGGCAAACGTTGATTGATGCCTTGCCAAAGCACATTAATGTCTTGTCAGGGATCATACCCACAACCTTTGAATTTCAAGTCATGTGCCTAAAGGGATTGGGTAACTTGGTCTCAGATTCTGAAGCAAAATCCTGGATTTAGCTCATGCTGCAATGATATTTATAAACCTTTAGGTCAGTCAGGAACCTCATATCTTTTACAAGCTGATCGCCTGTCTGATTATCAAGATATTTATGATTGGAAATCGAAATCAAATTTTGTGCTTTCCTAACTGTTTTCATAAGACTACAGTCTATTGGGAAAAACGAGTATGGTAAAACCGGTCACTCAAAGCTTTTTTTTTATACTTCTTTGAGCAGGCGCGTATGCAGGGGGGGGGGGGGGTGTTTGGGGGGTTAAACCCCCCCTTTGGTATTTTTTTGTGTGTAAACCCCCCTAAAAAATCCCTAAAAAACCCCCCCCCCCCCCCCCCCCCCCCCCCCCCCCCCCTTTTGAATTTTTTTTTTATTTTTTATTTTTTGTTTAATTATTAAAAAAAAATAAAAAAAATTACCCCCATGGCTGACCAAAGAAAGGTGACCTTACCCCCCCCCCCCAACGGAGCAAAATGTCAAATTTTCAAATTTCGAGACCAAAAAAAAAAAAAGTGTCCTCTTATTTTCAAATTTTCCTGAATCGTTGCAAAATTTTGGACCCGATTTTAAAACCCCCCTTGAAAAAATCCTGCGTACGCCACTGTCTTTGAGGCACTTCTTGATCATTTTGAAGCGCCATGTTTTACGGCTTCAATATTACACCATATCACAGACACTGATAACACGTAGGGCCGTGCATCTCAGATTTGACATTGTTAAACGATGCCTTTAAACCACTCAAGTAACTATGACACCTCTAATAATTACTCACTTCATCTCCAGCTGCTTCGACAGGCTTTCACCCTCTGGTCAAGTCTTCCTCACTCTCTGCACCGGCCAGGGAGGAACCCCTGCAGACAAACCACAGAGGAAATGGGCGGATTCCTGGCAGGCGGTCGCCATGGCAGCCTGGGGGTCCTTCATCCTGACCAGGACGATGCCATTTTGTGCCGAGGATTATAAGGAGTATTACTGTACAGGCTACAGGTACTGTAGATTGACTCATTGGGGATCACTAGCATAATTTAGAGAACTACTAGGAGGGATTGGACCACCCAGGGAGGTCACTGACAGGTGGCTATCTCATCAACTCAGCTCTCAATTAACATAATAAAAAGAGGATCATAGGGGACCAATGGTCACCAATTAGGCATTGTTTTCTATATAGAGGGAGCAAGTAGTACAGTGGGGCTTAAGTTAATATTGATTATTGATTAGTAACTTACCTCCCCTCTTTAATATACCTGTATTTTTGAAATTGTATATAAGTGTTTTGTGATGTTATCATTATCATATTACTTTAGTATTTTGATTTTTTTTACACTGGTGAATTTAATGTTAGTTGATTACCCTGTAAAACATGATATGAGCTGCATGTCATATTCTTTATGCTAAACCAATTTGATTCAATTCGTAGTTTATAGGACGGGTTAGAGATTAAAGAATCATTTGTAAGGTAATATTTGTAAGATTGTCTTTTGAAAACATAAAATGTACATTTGAAAAAATTATAAAATACTGTATAAGCCAATGTTTTTAGCTGATCAGGGGCTTCCAGGACAAATTCAGGACTTAAGTTAGGGTAAAGTAGTGGCTTTACGCAAATCATAAAAGATAGAACCTGTCTTTTAAGGCCACCCAAAGGAAATATAAAAGGTGGCTGCAGTAGACAGGTGGCCTTACTGAGAGGTCCTACAAAAAATTCATGTTCACCTTAGACAGATGACCTTTGGAGAGAGGTGGCCACTAAGACAGGTTTTAGTCTTTATTCAACAACTTTTATGTTCCTTTGCTTTTGCTACCACTACCAGAGCTAGAACACAATCTGTAAATTAGATGCTGCTTGTACATGTTAAGTATCGGCTTGCATGGTGATGTAGATATACAGTAGGCTTGCGGGTGCACCTTGTGAGAGAGAGGGAGGATTGAGGAGTCCTGAACAGGACTCTCGGTAATCTTTATTGAGGGCGTGTAGTCCTGAAAAGGACTGTTTGGTGTAATCTGTAAATTGTCTGTGATATTGTCCCCAAACAGGAGTCAATCCAAGCACTTTCTGACTCAGAATGCCATCACCCACGTCTTTGAGAGGAGCAGGGAACTCCTGGATCAGCCTTGCCCGATACCCAGAGAACTCACCCTACGTACCGACCAAGAGATGAGTACTGTACAGTGCCCTACTGATCTTTGTAGAGTGATAAACAGGTATGTATTCTGGGGGGTGTTTCACAAAGATCCTAAGTTGAACTCATCTCTAAGTTGGACTTAACATTTATGGAAAGCCATCATCATCTATGAAAACATTTTGCAAAAGTTATTTTAAAAGGCATAAAATCTTGATTCGAATCATTCATATTTTCTATCATCAAGGAGATTTCATGTTCTTGATGTGGAATTTGTAAAAGGTCTACAATACTTGAATTTTCGCTTTTGAATATATTTTATTTTAAGGCTACAAATGGCTCGCCATAACTTCTAAGTCCAACTTAGAGTTAAGTTCAACTTCGGATCTCTTTGAAACACCCCCCCCCCCCTGGTGTTTTGTAGAGGGGTGACAGTAGTTTGCAGGCACAGTCCCTATGCTTATGTCACAGTGTCTGCACTGTGAGACTAGACTGACAGCATGCTGCATACGCTCTGTACTGTAGTGGCTGCTCCAGATGCAACCAGAGACTGAAGTATCTAGGCTCTGCTTAAGGCTTTATACATTGTGGTAAAGTGCCAAATTAGAGTCTGTAACTGCAGACTAGGGTGAGGGTAGGTGGAAATTCATTCAGCAAAATTTTCAGCTACCCACACAGAGGGCTGTAAAATCAATGGCCTTCTTGGGGGCAGCCGACAAGAAGTATGAGATGAAGAACGAGTTTTGTTCAACACTCAAAAAGACTATAAGCATCAATCAAGTTGCAAGAAGTACATGATTTTTTTTCATGAACCTTATGGGAGGAATGATTGTGCAGAAAGAATCGACCAGGTCTCCTTGCATGTGTACGCTGATTGAAAGTTACATGTTCCTATTCTAATGTTTATTTATGTACTATTATAATTAACTTGCCATAAGTAAAGTGCTTAGAGACATTGTAATAAGCGCTATATAAAAGCTAAATATTATATTATTATTATATGGTATGTCTTTTTGTTGTCTGTAGGGATCTTCTGTCAGAACCCCACCATCCTTTAGCTCTCGTCTCAGCAGAGATACATCGCCTGATCAATGAGGGCTTTGCAGACACGACTTTTCTTCAAGCTGAAGAGCAGCCTCTAGTGTTGAATGCAGGAGAGGTTATCACTACAGGTCATTTTTCACCTTCTGAGCTCTACCACGTTGATGTCGTAAGAACTAAACATATTCAACAGCAGGATAGCAGTCATTGCAGCAACAGGAGCGTTGGTGTACCACAAGGCGCAGTACACAGTACAACTACAGAGCTACACAAACAGCCCCCTCTATCACCAGAAGATGTTCAAGGGTTATTACCATGTACTTGTGCAGTAACTGCTCTTGGTAAAATGGTAACAGATGGTCAAAGCGACAAAGATTCCATGAGCGACAGAGGAGAGAAGCAGGATGGACTGTTGTACTTGGAGGGTCATTCAAAGCATGGTAATACTGGGACAGAGCAGTCCAGTTGTCAGCATACTGAGGATTCAGAGTCCAATGGACCTCATGTTACAGGGATTACCAGTGCAGAAGTCCAAATAAGTCCATGTTTGTCCAAACACGGCAAGAGCAACTACGTTCTTAGACCGACCCTTCTCAGTCGCGCCCCTGGTATTTTTCGAAAGGAGGATCCGCAACCTCTTTATGCTAGTGGCAGAGTCTTTCGTCGCTGTGGTATACGTCCAGAGCTTTATCCTATTCTGCACCAATACCTGATGGTAGTGCCCATACCCAAAGATTCTGGGACATCCTCTGAGGACTTCAAGGAGAAGGTGTCGAGGGTATCAGCAGGCCTCCTACAAGAAAAGGGACCGGTTTCCATAGAGGATTGCCATAGTTGTCAAGATGGTTCCATCAACAATCGTTCATCCCTCGTGTTCAAAGTGGAAGGATCCAATGAGCCTTCACAAAACACACTCACTATTGGTGAGTTTGGAATCTTCCACTCAGAAGGAGGGGGTTACCACTATTGCATCTGGAACTTGGACACTATGGCGATGGTGAAATATAGTGTGGAAGACATACGTTTATTCTGGTCTGCCGATGACCGGATAGTTGCCCAGTTTTCAAAATCTGCTGAAATGTGTTCTGAATCTCAACCGTTATTAGAGCATTCCATGCAGGTATACAGTCTCCACCCTCCTACCTACACTTATGATGTTAGCTTTTGGCTTCACGAGGACACCTTCGACGAGCTTGACTTTTGCTCCGCGATCCGATCAGTGACCTTTGACCTTGTACGGGAAGTTCGCTTTCTTAGCCAATACATCAACAGAGAGATCAGTTACCTCTATAGAATTGTGTACCAGTCTTGTGATCGTGCGCTTACTAAGAAGGCAGTAACACAACTGCATTTAGATGTAAGAGAGGCAATTAATAAGCGGCTGGGTGTAGAGGCTAGGTGATAAACAGGAGGGAATTTTGAGCTGGTTTCGCGATTATCAATAGGTCTTTCACATCATTCCTCCATCTAAGCATTGGTTAGATCTATTATATCATTATTGCAGTTTACTTTTTAGAGAAATATTTGAATGTACACTGAATTTTATTCTCAAAATTTTAATATATTTTAAAATATTCACTTTAAGAATTTTAACTCTTTTTTATTGCTGACAGCCGGATAAAGTATGTAAAAAGCAATTTCAGATTTATGAATAATATGAAAATGTTCTTTAATATTTTAGAGGATTGAATGTTGAAAAAATGCCTTAACCCTATGTTAACTGGGGGGGGGGGGGTCAATTTGACCTCCCCCTGTAGAAATTTCGCGACTACTCCAAAACCGCGGCAGATATACAATTTTCCTTTCATGACTTTTTACTTTCGAGTCTTACGCATCTTTTAAAACAATTTTTTCGAAAATCGGACCTACGGTTACAAGGTCACGTGACCTTTTGTCTTTGCATGTCAGCCCGAAAATCGCTCATTTTCGTGATTTGTGTACAAAACATATGTAAAAGTCATTTTTCCTAAAAATAGATAAAACATTGGTTATTCAGTCTTGTTTAAAGTTTAGATGTTTGTTTTGGGGTCAAAATAGTTGAATTGTAGTTATAAATGAAATAAAACAACAAAAACAATAAATTACATAAGTTAAAAAAACAATGAAATACATAAGAAATTATAAAAACAAGATATAACATAAGGAATAACCTGGCTCTTCCAATTTTTTGTGTTGTATTTTTATTCCAAATAGTCTAGTAAATATATGTGGTGAAAAAGAATACTTAAATATGAATAATCTATGATCTATGGGCAGAAATGTGAATTGTATGACCTTATTTGCATAAATTACCATAAATATGCAAATGAGTGAATTTTTCAAAAATCTGAAATTACCATATTATTCTATACACTTCACTTGACATGCATGCAAATTTTCGCGGCGATCGGCGTTGAAACGGCCGAGATCTTAGGGGGGGGGGGGTGGGGTCTAATTGACCCCCCCCCCCCCCCCAGTAAAAACCTGGTCTGAAATAGCCCAGTTAAAATAGGGTTAATTGCATTAATCTCAGAAAATGATTTCATTATTAGAAATTGTCATAAAAGTTTGTTTCCCTCAAATGACCAACAAATCATTATTTATCTTCCAGCTCCTCATATAGAGCAATTTTATATCTCTATCATTCTCAGTTCATAAAATCAAACCTACAGTAGGTAAACACTGCACCTTTTTTATGCATACAGCTGTATACTGAACTCAAAATATTTTTTGGGGGGAGGGTGTGGGTCAGCTTTTTTAGCCAGGAATTAACATTTTCTGTGCATATTACATATACCATACATGAATTCAATTAATTTAATGTTCCATCTAAATTAAATTTGTACATGCATTTCATTGGGATGTAAGTGGTTTTGTGAAACGCTGCCTTGGGTTTTCACACAAGATACAGATAATTTCCTTCTGATTCGTCATAGGATTGTGTAAGATGAACGAGTATGTATATCTATTTATTGCTTGCAACAAGGTGTTTGAATAATAACATTTAGTAAATTATTGAGAACAACATATTTCTGTAGTTTTGGTATTATGTTATCACTGTTTCTCTTGCTGTGTAGTTTAGACGGGCTATAATGAAAATGTTCTGATCACCTTAAGGTACTATGTCCCTTTTGCAGCCAACCTCAAATTCTGTAGAACTTTGCAGGAATTATGAATATGTCATGTATGTCCTATCTGTGAAATTTAAATGCTAGCAGTGTCCTCATATTCAAATTATGCAAGGAAACCCGTTTACTTGCTAGACTTCACTGTCAGACACTATTGAGTGACTGACTGGCTTTTTTTTTCTCCTTTGGTAATAACATACATGAAAAGAGTTGTAAAGGGTACATGAGCATTTGTCTACATCAATAACCCCCTTCTTGTGATGGCCAAGATTAAACCGATTGAATCTTTGCGCAGCATGAAACGTATGACCATTCGGTACAATTGTCTGAAAATCAAGACTATTATTTTTGGGCTCTACAGCCCTTAAGTCGATTTGACAACTAATAGTCATTATTTTCCCACTTGAAGACATTTTCAAGCCCCACCTTATTTAGGGAAGTTCTAAATAAGTATTATCTTTCAAATGCAGTTGGAATTTAACTTTTTCATTTTTTTTGGCCTGCAAATGGGACATGTCCCTTTAAACAAATATTTTCTTAGCATTCTATGGGTTGGCGGTGAAGGAGTATATGAAGATGGCTCTTTTTATATATCCCTCTTCTTCCACAACATCTTCTTTTTTATCTCCTCCCTTTCTCCTTTCTTCCTCCTCTGTTTCCCCCTGCCCCTCCTCATTTCTCTCCTCTCACTCAAAACCTCTCTCTTCTATTGCTCACTAACTTTTTCACCATTTCTGAAAAGCAAACTAAAACAAAGCAATTGAAAGGGCGAAAATTACACTGACAAAAGATTTTTATTTGCACAAAAGTGGCAACGGTTCTTAAAATTCCCTCAACACCTTGACATAATAATCATAAAGACTACACAATTCACACAAGAATCTAATAGACGGTAGGACCACTATGTAGAAATGTGGAAAAATTACCAAAAAACTTTTTCATCATAAAAAAGCATCTTGCTTTAAAAGACAAGTCTTGCCGTAGTACTTACATGTAGATCTCAAATTTGAAAGTCTCGATTTTTTTTGTTTTTGTTTTTGTACTTTTACCAGAAATGAAAAGTTGACTACCTAAATTGCCATGGGTTAAATAAGCCTGAATACTCTTGTAACACCAAAAGGATTTCAGGAATACTAGCCATTGTAATTATGACCTCCTGTAAAGTTCTTATAATCCCTTTTTACCAGATTCTGAAAAAGGCTTTAGGAAAATAGTAAAATATTGATCTACTGTATAATAAACATGCAGAGGATATACCTTTATGTGATATTGTGTAAATACATTGTTGCAGTGTGTACCTGGTTAATTTAATCTTTACATATTCCACTAGATTCATCACCTTCAAGAATGAACCATTTTTAAATATTCATGAATTGAAATTTTCCTCTATAAACACAGAGTGACAACAATATACAAACATATATCAGTACAGAGAAATGTACGCACCTCAAGAACTAGTCATAAAAAAGTACTTTTTAACGGTTTTTCAGAATTAAAAAGTACAATCAAAATTGCCACAGACACTCAAAAAGATGAACAATTTATACATATTATTTGACATCCAACCAAAACGCATATATGTTCAGGGTACAGCAAGCACATTTTAGGGTGAAACCAAAGAAAATCATGAAATTTAATCGTCTAAACAACTACAAAGTAAACCAATTTGAAGAGCGTTTCAAAACTGAAAGGGTACATGTTTGGAGAAAGATAGATTACCTACCGGATAGATTGTAGACCTTTCCCCATTCTTTCAAAAATTGCCCTCAAAATAATTTTTTTCATTTTAACACAACAAGGGCAATATAAAGCAATCAACTAACTACTATTATTCACATAACACTCAAAATATTCTCATCAATATCATAATTACACTTTGAAAACACCATCGGATTGCATTGATCTCACCTCCCATCTCCAAATAATCTCACATCTACATGTAACTTAATTGTATCTACACTAATGTAATGCATTTTAAATATGGCTAATGTAGTACAGGAAACGATATCAATGTAACATTTAAAAATGTACTTTAATTTGTTCGGAATTAAAACAGGCTCAGTTTGTTGCAACTTGAGATGATGTACATACATACATACGCTTGAACACGGTCAGTCTTCAAAACTAGTAAAACTAAAATCGTTTACAGTAGAGTGCTACTTGCAATGATACACCATGATACAATGTCTCTTAGTTTGTGTCTTTTTGGCTTCAAAGGGAGGCATGTGTTTTCAAATACTGGGTAATAAAATTTCAATTTACAATTACAAAAATGACCTTCCATCTTAAAAACTACATATAGTACTTGGAAAGACATGCGTTAAATACCTTATTGGCATTCCACAGAATACTAAAATGTCTTCACTCCTGATATCAATTTAAAATCAATTAATTAAATATTTCATTATTTTGCCGTACAAACTCCTAATCTTCAAAGATAGTACCCCATTCATTTCACAATCAAGATTACCAGATACAAGTACAGCACCGTTTTCAAAAGGAAATATGACATGACACAATTCGTCCCTATTTTCACATAGTGACGGTAGGAGAATCGTCACGCAAATTGTATGCGATTTTCCTCCCTGCGGTCACTTCGTGAAAATAGGGTCGAATTTAGATATCCAGGGCACTTTCCTCACGATTAATATCTGTCACCCCCTAAACTATTGTAAGTCCAAGAAACATTTGCTAAACCACCAGAAACAACTAAGCCTGACCACTTAGGCCCGTATCATATTGAATTGAAAGCAGTGTACCAATCACCTAAAGTTATTTTTTGTAAAGCTACAATGCATAAAATTTACCTCGAAAAAATAATTACCCAGCCTACTACAAATAAGAAGAAGGAAATAAAGCATAACATAAAACCCCAAGCGCTGAACCGAAGTTTGACTTGAGATACAATTCATGTGGGCCATATTTTAGATGAGTGCGGATAAGTACGGGGATCGAGTAGTCTTGTCGGAAATCACTTTCATGTTCAATGTTCAAACTTGCAATATCTTTCTGCAGAAGTAACGTTGGAAGCTCATATTTTGAAAATAGTGCATCAACATGGAACTGCCATTTAAACCAACAGCGCAAAATGTTTGTTTCGTGATCGGTACACTTACAGCTTTTGTTCAACATCACATTGCTTTCCTAATTTGTTAAGCACGATCCTAAACCCAGATATGGGTTTTACTGAATTAGTTGAAAAGGCAACAACATGTATTATGTCTACATCTTATAATAAAAACCAAGACTAAGACAGATCAAATTATGTTTTACCCTTTTTTTCTGATTTTATATAAAACACAACAAGTAGAGATACCAAAAGCAAAAGTATCTAAATCCGGTGGGTTACTGTGATTGAGGTAGTGACTACAATAAGTGCAGTGTCACAATTTGTATACAAAAGGCACTAATATCTTGATTGCAGAAATTCTTTGGATATAATTATTACTTTTGATCAATATTTTGCATAATGACACAAATCTACAATTTGATCCATATATGAATAACCACAGGAAGAGATGATTCATCTACGAGAGAAGGCAAGCCTTGTGATCATATAACAAAAGGATGCTCAATTAATGTGCATGATGTATCCCGACAAGAACACTTTCCATTAAAATCACTTAATGGCTTGATAAATAGAACATTATGGAAGAATACATTAAAAGGCATGATTATTGTTTGAGCTAAGAAAGCTGAGGAAACGATAAACAGTTTTGCAGGATCCTTTTATCTTTGCTCACGAACCTTTCCATCTGTATGGACATGCACAAAATAACATGATGTTATTGAAAATATACCCACAAACAAAATTGGATTTGCTTTTATGTAAATCATTGTACGGTATAATAACATCTCTATTTCTATGCAGCTTTTCAGTTCTCACCCAACACTCATTAAAATAAAAAATGAAATTCTGTACACAATTTATCATACCTATTGGATTGCTGTTAAATATTCAAATTTGCAAATCTATGATGGACATGTGTGATAAATGAAGAATCTACAAAATTATTTCTTCACAATACCACAATTTTTTACACTATAAAAACATATCATTATTCTTTCAATTAAACGAGCGAAATGTATTGCTTTCATCGCTAGAAATCACACCACAAATCTTTGGCTTGTATATACAATGTACAAAGATGGGGATGGTACACAGGATGTTGGAGTATAATTATCCTGTTACATCTTAAACGAGGAATAATGCCTTAACAAAGGACACTAGTGCGTCGACTTGGGTATCAAACCAGCAACCTCCAAGTTAAGAGGCTGCTGCTCTACCCACAGAGCTAATGCACCTCCTATATGTGGGACATAACAGGTTAATAGAATATTGGACTGGCCATCGATGGGTTAACTGATGATATAAAAAGGTGCATCTGGTGGTTTAGCAATCCGTGGATCCAGGCTTCTTGTCTTCGTACGGATCGTATTCATCGTCATAATAATCACTGCAAAAAAACAAGAAACAAGAAAAGTGTTCTCAAAAGGGCATTTAATGCAGGATGTCATCGATAATTAATAACAAAGTTAAACCAATAAACTTGAGCCAATAATATCCTGTTCACAATAACAGACACAATTTACATAGCCTCCAATGGCCCAAAATGTGTTGGTATGAAGTTGGTTTGGTGGTGTCAAGAAGATACAAGTTATGCAACCGCCTTGCAGCTAATTATGGTAATCAAAATTTTGGTTTACTGCTCCTTTTTTTGGCCTGCACTTGTCTCTAACCCCAAAATAAAGTTTGGAAACTTGATTTTGATCGATTATATCTCTCATCATATAATCATCACTTCATTATTATCATTAGAATGTATTTTATTCCTCGTTTAAAATTATACATTTGTTGCAAAAAACACTCTTCAAAGAAAGAAGAGTGCACAGCTATAAAACAAGAGCAAGGCATTTTGCAAATTTTTATTTTTGACTTTCCCCATAATTTGTATGTAATGCACGTTCCATTATTGAAAAATCGTAACAAATGGGCATTATGGGATATCATTTTAAAGAGGAATAAACACACTTGCTATTAAATGAAACTCAACATGTCGATGATTATTCCATAAGAAGAGAAATAAAATCGAGCCAACTTGACTTTCCAAACTTTCTTAAGGTGTTTCAATGCTCCTTAATTGGTGGCAGCGGTGGGATTGAATCATAGCTAGTAGAGAGGAGATAGTTGTGACGCACACATACATGCATGCATGCTCAAAGTCAATTCATGGAGCTCTGATAGTTCTCTCTCACGTACAATCTCTATGGCCCGAATTCACAATTCTCCATTTGTTTCGCCAAACCTCCTTTTGTTTTTTACAAACCAGGTTTGTAAAAAACGCGTAAAAAAGCATCATATGACGTACGAAAACCATGGTTTGTCGACAAACCTCCTTTGTGAATACGGGCCAATGGGATGGAACAGTTGAGAGGTCCATGAATATGACCTATGAACTATGACCTGCATGCATGTACATGTGTCATAACTGTGTCCCTATCTTTGCTGCAGACTAGATTTTTTTTTTTAATAGCCTTAATTTAATTATAATTATGAAATGACAAGGGAATTCAATAACTATGATTTTAGTCCAAATCTTTCATAATAAATTTGATGAAAATAAAGAAAAGTACAGGGCACCACACTAAGTTTATTTAGAAGGAGGTCCTCATTGAACATTTTTAGAGTCAGTATGCATGAGCAATTTGTCAAAATTTCACAATCTTTGGTCAGATTTTGGGTGGCAATGTCTCCCGGGCGCCTGTTATTGTGTAGCCATGCAAAAGGGATGTTAGAGGGGTTTCATCTTACTGTTTATCAACACACATGGACATCAAAATAACAATCAGATTTTTATATCATACAGATATCATATGTACACTATAGGTATCAACTGCAATATAATAGTTAGCGATCAAAATGTTCTGATTAATGTTAAGGCATGCCCATCCACCTGTCAATAAATAATACACAAATATTAAGGATGATTTTCAACACATACATGAAACCAATAGATAAAGTGTGAGTGTGTATCTTAGGTATTAACATGTTTATATTTTTTACTAGTACATTAATGTATGACTAGGACAACTACACTTTAGAATATCATCCCCTTGGCAACTATCGCCTGAAACACTATTTTCTCAGCTAACTACCCACACATAAGAACTGGACCCTAGGATAACTACCACTTGAAAACACTATCCTCTAGGAAAACTTCCCCACACAACAGCTGGACCCTACGACAGCTTTCCCTTTAAAACTCTATTCTCCCAGACAACTACTCCCCCCCCCCCCAACATATATAAAACTAATGGACAATGACCCCTTGGAGCTGGACAGCTCTATCCTAGGACAATTGTCCACCGATACCCCATTCACAGTGGCCTCAAACACCGCGACAGCAGCGGGACTGTCCCGTTGCTGTCGCGGTGTTGTCTTCAGTGTGAAGGCTCGGACCCGTTATAAACTATCGCGGGATAACACCGCCTCGCGATAACGCCGCGACAAACTATCGCTAGGTTCGCCTAGCTACAGCAGCGGGACAGTCCCGCTGCTGTCGCGGTGTTTACTCAGTGTGAAGGCTCTCCGCTATAACACCGCGACAAACACGTGTGATTTGTTTACTTACCTATCACTGACCTCTTTTCTCCAGCAATGGGGAACATAAAGTGAAATAGAAATAAAGTAACCAGTGGATTCAAATTGATTTTATTATTATGTAGATATTATAATTATCCAAATAAAAATATTTCACACTTCAAAAAATTAAAATATTCTGACTGGAAGCAATAAAAATGCTAGTTTTTTAAAAAGTAATATGATCGAAAAGTATAGATAGATCCATAGCTAAATCGAGCTAGCTACATGAGGAAGAGTGTGTAAAGTACAGCTAGCGCGCGCAATTTCAAGCAATCGAAAACCCCGCGCTGAAGTATTTCCGGTCATATCGGGGTCACTCGCGGGTCATGAGCCATGCATACACGTGTTTGTTACGGAGGTAATAAAAATCACCCGCTGCAGCGTGAATGGGTACATTATATTTATCCCGCTGCTGCAGCGGGATAACTTTTCTACTGTGAATGCATTTGTAGCGGTGTTATGGCGGTGTCGCCGCTCCGCTACAACGCCGCTACAAATTTCAAAACCACTGTGAATGGGGTATTAGACAACTGTCCCCTAAGAAAGACTATCCTATAGGACAACAATAACACTGTAGGACAACTACCACCTAGTAGAACAAACGCCTATAAACCAAAAAAAAACAACAACAAGACTCCTGTTAACTATCCTATAAGTATTCATTTCTCATTGAAGTTAGATTAATGTTTCATTTCCCCCAAAGAGAGAAGAAAAAAAAGGGATTTTTTTTTTTTTTTAAAATCATTATTTACCCCTAGGTGATTCGAGTCTAGTGCCTCTATTAGAACCATAGCTAAAACAAATTCTAAAGTTGAGGAAACAAATGATCCCCCCCCCCCTTCAACATCAAAGAAAAAAAATCATTTTATCCCATGGATGAGCTGAAATAAACAAATAAGGTAATGAAAAGTTGATGGTTAGTGCAAAACATACCATATACAGATAACTATTGGTTAATATAACATTTATCAAAACGGAATGCTAATGAGAATGGTTAGTAAAAAGTGAAAACTGGTAATGGTTAGTGGAAACAAATAACATTGAAATGCTCAACATAAACAATGAAATTACAGAGAACAATGTTAGTCAAGGCTGGAACCGGATGGAATGTAAGGATTCACTGCTTTTCATTCATACTGGTACACACCAGCCATTGATCTACACCCATGCAAATATCTATACTTTTTGCATATTATTAAAATCAAAACTTTGTTTCAAATACTATATCAACATCTACATTCAATAAATTCATAACAATCTGATAAAAGTACACAAAATTTCAGTCACCCCAAATATACAATTTCACAATTTTGTGATTATGTAATTTAAAGCGATACTTACTTTTCAAAATATTAGGATTTTTCACATTGCAACTCAGTCAATGTTTGCATGGGTTCAGTATCAAATTGTTTATATTTTAATGTTAGAAGAACAGATTTTGTTTCTGTGTCTAGCCTAAAGCTAAATAGTACAAACACGATAAATCAATCTATATTTCACCTTTATTCTAACTTAATAATATTACCAAAATAAGTGCCAAGAATATCAAATAAGACTGTTCAATGATTATCTTAATATAAAAACATGTCACTTTTCTTACAATTCCAATGATGCTTTTACTGTTTAGACCTAAGACTTCCACAATTTACGGCTCAAAATTAAATACTCCTTCATTTCAAAACATTAAGGGATTATTGCTTATATTTATAACCTGCATTTGTAAGCCAGTGCTATATTGATAATTAATGCAAATTATGAAATACATGTCAATTTCTAAGTAGTCATATTCAATTTAAAATAACATATATCCATAAAGATTGTTACATTGTAAGTCAATGGAAAAACCATTAAACTACATGCATTGCATTTTTTTTCTTAGTTTTGTTTTAGAACTGTTAAAACATAGAAATATTGTCATTATGCAAAAGTAAACTACAAGTACACTGTATCTCGTTTCATTAAAATGAGTTTGCTTTCTTTTTATTTATTTTTAGTTTCAACTACCATCACATATGATATGAATATTGGGGTAAGAAATGAATTGTTATATTCCTTCCATGCAAACCTAGAAAATATTGATGAAGAAAAAAGATGGTCCTAGAAATAATAATTTGTTTCAGCAGAAAATGATCTCACATTCAATTAGACCATATATCTCGCAATGAACAGTGTTAATGCAAATTAAATTCTGCTGAAAATTCATTCAAAATAATGGAGAAAGAAAGATAAATAAGGATGGCAATATGAGGAAATAAAATGAAACAAAATTTTGCCTTTTTAATTGCAAATAATTAGAAATACTTATTGGTTCCTAAGTTTTGTTGATCATTAGATTCATTTACATTCGACTCCACAGTGACATTCACCACAACAAGTCCCTCTCCTTGACCTGACTCCCCTTTCCCCACAATGGGAGAGTCCGTGCCAACATTGGAATTCATGTCCGGTCTGGGATCCACCATTCCATGAAGAGGGGGTTGTGAAAAGTAGGAAGGTGGACACAGTTTGAGGTGCAGTGTGAAGCATGAAAATGAAATGGATTGAGAAAGAGAGAGGGAACAGATACAATGTAGTGATTATAATGCAGTAAACACAAGACATTAAACTATACATTTGACAGGACACAAAGCACTTCTTACATTCCTCAGGAAATATCACAGATTCTATCATTCTAACATTCTAACAATAGAACATTTTTAATTCATTTTGTTGGTGTATTTTATACCATTTTATTAATGTAATCTAAATTATGTGCCTTTTTACATTCTTTTCCAATTTCTATTCTATTTCCTTACTGTTGCAAGTTGTATAGATATTGTGTTTCCCTTGCACTGTAAGAACATGTACTATTCAGTCTGTGACAGCCAGTCATGTTTTAAGAAACCTTGATTGAATTGAATTGAACGCCATTGAAAAGAGTTTATTTTTGTATATAAACCCAAATATATTAAATATTAAAGCACAAATTTTTCCACCAAAACTTAGAATTTTCTTCTTCTTTTCGGGGGTTAAAAATGAAATGGAGCTAGTTCCACAACAATTAAGAAGAATATTTTTTGGTTTATGGATAAATTCATCCAAAATCAAATCAAAAATAAATAAAATGGAACAATGGCAGAGACATACCCAAACATCTCTCTTGCATGTATTGATACTTATTGGTTTCAATTTCTGTAGGTACATTGTGTACTCTCTCACACACACACTTACGCCTTGGGAAAATTTCCACAAGAATGAAGAAGCGCAACATAGACAGGACATTACAAAAAAGCAGACAAACATATACTTTACAATAACAACGCTCTATCAAGTACATCACTGCCATTTTCATTGAATCTGCACTTGCACAATAAAGCCAATGAACATATGATTCAGTGATGAACTTGATTGTGGCAGGATTGAAAACAAGCCATATGTAAATACACCCATTAGAAGCCACATGAACCAACAGTGTGTTTGGGTAAGTGTGCCGTTCACATAGAGCGAAGTGATAGGTTAAATCATATAATACACACGGCAAGTACCAAAACGTGCAAAAGATGACAAGTTTGCACACAGTTTATCCTGCACCCTCTTCCCTCAACCTGCTGTTGAAGTGTCACACTATTAAGTATTTGGTCTTGATCACATATCATGTTTTAAACCACCTAGAAAAACATTAATGCCCTGGCAAATGAAAAGTATAGCATGCTTAACATACCTGTGCGTTATGAAAAGACTGGGAAATACATTTAAAATATGGCTCTCTGATGTGCAGTTCTTTTCAATGGATCATTTGTTTGTTTTTATTCCTTTTTTGCCATTTATGTAGACAGACAATATTTATTTTTTATATTCGATACATTTAAAAAAAAATATATATTTTTGTTATCACTTCATCTAATTTGCATGAGGCAATATTTTTACTTCTTTGAGGTCACAAATGTGTCATTTGGTTTTCCCAATGAGCCTGATAATTACATTTACATAGTCTAAAAGAATTCTTAAATGGTTCATGACTGAAATATGCACTTCATTATGTAATAAAAAGGAATCTAAAATGGGTAACATGTCAAAACCTGAAATTAGGCGTTAAGCTAGAGCTCATAGATATCCTGCAAAACGTTTTCACCCCATTAAAGAAGAAAGATGGTTTTATTTTCAAAGATTATGCATTTCCAGAACTTTCAAATCTCCAGTCATCTAGAGCTTAATCAATCTTCAAGCAGATACAAAGTAACCAAAATACTTTGTACTGTCATTAAATCCACTGGTGATGCAATGAAAATAGGATTTGCAAACAGCAACTGTCATTAAATTGTCCTCAATTTGAAATGTTATAGTTTTGGCTTTCGTACAGTGGTTAGAATAATTTACATAGCTTTCTGGTTATCACAAAGCATTGCAAGAGTTGTGAGCTTTATACAGAGCTATTACTTTAAGATTAGTTCTTTTTTCTGTTTTGGTTTTGTTAGAAAAGAACATCTGGATTCACGAAGCTTCTAATCTAAACTTTTGAGCAGTTTCAGAAGCATTAACTTAGCTATTTTCATGCTACACCAAATTAAGCCTAGTGCAGAATATATAAAGACCAATATTAATAGTTTCTATATTTTTAAATAAGGTGAGTACAAGTAACAAAGTGCATAATAAATAATAATCTGATATTTTGAACAAGCATGTAATATTTTGACTGAAAGTATAGGAGTAAATGCCCTTCCATCTCTGAAGAGACTATATAAAATACAACTAAACATGATTTGTGACCTTTTTTTTGTTTTTTTTTGTTTTTTGAGAACACTCTCCCTTTTCCCAAATCAAATATCACAGCAGAACATCGACATGAGGGGTTAGATGAGTTTATTGCAGGATAAACCGTCGCAACTTGCCTTTCCACCACGATCAAAGGCCAACCCTTTAAACCGCTGTTTGCAAACAATTGCTACAAATAAGCAAGCAAAGAGAACAAAATTGATGAAAATACCTTCAAGCTTTCAAATATGGGCAAAATTTCCTTCTTTCTTTCTTACACAGCACTAAAAGATCAAAATGAACATAAAATGGACATACAAACAAAATATTCAATATTTATCGCAGAAGTAATAGTAAGAAAAGAACGAGGCATGTCAGCAGGATTCGTGATTTTATGCAATGAAATTCAAGGTATTTCTTATCTGAAATGCTGTAATTTTTGTTCACTTCATTTGAGATGATCTTGTCTTCAAAGTTCAGTCTCTAACAGTTTTATATATTTCATTTAAACATAAGATTGTTTAAGAGAGTGATCATCTTCCTCTTTATTTATTCATTTTTCTAAATTTAAATAAAAAATGACCAATTCACTTTTTTCCTTCATTCAAGTAAAGTGATGAGACTTATTAGCTTTTCTTTTTGATAGTTTTCTGACTATTGCTTGAATATTAACAAGAAATAAAAGAGTCAATTGCAATACAAACTATGAAGAAAAGGTATCTAGTTATAATGTTTATCCAGATATTAAAAACAGACTGAATGGGAATGGTGTTAATAAATAAATTACTCACTGAAAGAGTTTGGTTGATTTTTGTTTCCCTTCTTTTTTCATAGAGGTGTCAACTTTACTGTTAATTATAAATTTAACTTTCTGTGACCTGTTTCATCAAACTTAACAATAATAACAAGTTAGAAAAGCAGTTGAAGTGGTTGCAATCGTTGAATTTGATTGGCTGTGAGCAAATTTGTTTTTAGAAATATGACACTTGTTATCCTTACAATATTTTGTGAAACAGGGCCCTAATTTTTTTTTTAATACCCTAGTATTATAAAAAGAAGTATGAACAGATTTTTTTTTTTTTTGGGGGGGGGGGGGATATGTCGCTCAAGGACTATCACTGACAAATGCAAGAAAGGCAAGAAACTGGATCAAAATGTTTGCTAGGAAAGGAGCTTTAGGAAAGTTTGCATTTTTAAATTGACTTTAATAACAAAGATCAAATACTGCTATAAAGATTTTATTTTTTGTGAGAGGAATATGAATAAAAATTTCTGGTCATAAAATGAAATAATTTCATCATGGGAAGGATAATAAATTTATTACGGGAAATGGAATAGATTTCTGAGTGGAAAATGGAATAAACTCCTAGTCCTGCAAGAGATATTAAGAGTGTTAGTTTGTTTCTAGTCTACTGACCCGTCCTTGTTCATAAGAGGTTCGGCCTCGGCCGCAGGGGTCGTCTCGGGTGCTGCAGCCTCGACCTCGTCCGGCTTGCCATTCTCAATGGGTTGGTAGGTGGGGGGTCCGTCGCCGGGCGGGGACGATGGTTTGGTACCACTGGTAGGGGGTCAAGAGGGGGTGGAAGAGAGGCATGGAGGGAGGGAAGGAAGCGCGTTCTCATTAATTCACAAGAATATGAATGACATATAATGAAATGGGAATGGAAATATAGGTCACAATCAACATTTTAAGAAAGGTATTTGCAAATGATAAGAATTTACTGGTAAAAGCAAGCTTAGGAAAGCTAGAAATATGATAATCTCCTCAATATATTTTTTCTTCTGTTCATTGAAATGAGCCCTAAATTCAGGTACAAAACACATAGAAACTTACTCCATAGTAACGGGCATCAAAGAAATATTAAAAAATGTAAAAGCAAGCTTAGGAAAGCTAGAAATGTGACAACTGCTCAATTTTTGTCTTCTGTTTCATTGAAATCAGCACTAAATTCAGATACAAAACATACATAGAAATTTACTTTGTAATAATGGTTTAAAAGAAATATGTGCATTTTGTGTTACATGTAGCAAGACTATGGAAAGAAAAACGACAAAGAATCTTAAATTTACAGAAAGAATGTCAAATTCAGAAGAGATTGATTTTCAAATGTAAGGAATGTAAAAATGATATCCACATAAAACAAACATATGAAATAATACCACAGATGACTACATTTCATGAACGAAAATACAATACTACTAGTTTTTACAGGTTAACGTTAAACACAGCTTAAACAACAATAAAGGGACATGTATTTGTTCATATATGATATATGTTTCAATGAAGATGATTAAAGATGTACATGTTGGCATTATATCAACAATTCAACACTCATTCTCCCCCTCTTTCTCCATATCTGTCCACCCCATTAAGTGTACAAATCACCAAAGACAAAAGCACTTTTACATCGTCTTTAAAGCTTATCAGTACTAGTTTACAGGAGGGATTAGACTGCCCTGCAAGGTCACTGGACATGACTGTTATCTCATCAACTCAGCTCTCAGTTAACATAAGAAAAAGAGGATGATGGGCAACCAATGGTCACCGATTAGGCGTTGTTTGATATAGAGAGGGCGCAAGTAGCTACAAGTAGTGCAGTGGCCCTTTAAAATGTATCGCATCCATTTCAATTCATACACTGATTCATGGTACAGTAAAACCTGCTGTAAAACCTGTCTTTCTCGACCATAAGTTGAGAAAGACCACCTGTGTATACGGATTGTGCTTCCCTCAAGCAGACTTTCTCATTAAAAACTAAATTAAAGGAACCTGCACATAAAGGCCACCTGCTCATTGTCTCCATTAAGTGGTCTTTATATAGAGGTTTATCTGTACAAAAAACCAAAACTGTCACAAACACATACACAAATGACACAAATCAGAGTTATTTACAGAATAAATTTGACGCATATTTATAAATAATAATAATAATAAATAATAACAATAAATAACTACTATCATGTCCATTCAAACCCACCCGGGCTGTGAGGTATCTGCCGATATCTCGTTCGATGTTAGACAAATCTCATCATCAACAGCTTTGAGGGAGCTTCTCGGTTGCGGGTTCGCTTTACCATTGCTAGCATGAGCAATAGAGGTGCCATGTTAACCAATCGTCAGTGTATGCATTAATAAAATAAACCGGTCGATGAATAACACATTGTACGACGAAGCCTCCATACAGCATGGATGACAGTTTCCTAAATCTTACAATTAATTAATTAATTAAAGGCAGGGTATTCTACTGACACGACTTCAGATTTACGTGTATACTGCCATCTGCTGCTCGCTATGTCCTGATGTGACTACAGCCATGTCCCACAATGCATCACCAACTGATAAGTGCATGTGTGATGATGCTTGGGTACAGGAATTGAAAATTGTTTGTTGTACGCCTTCACAGGAAGATGGCGCAATTGACAATACATTTCAGTGGTAGTAGTGATGTCATTAAAATACCCTGCCTTTTAAAAAATGTTAATTATATTTGCTGTAAACTACCAATGCAAATTTTTAACAAACTGTATATGAGTTGATCTCATGGCAATTCTGTCAAAAAAACATGTAATGGTAATGTCTCAAGGGTCATCCCAAGTTCGATTGAACTTTTATTTCTATCTTGCTCTCCCACCCTTGCTCTTCTTTTCTCCCACCACCTTTCCCCCCTCCCTCTCTTAGGCCCGAATTCACAAAGCAAGGTTTGAGCTCAGACCAAGGTTTGAGCTCAAACCTCCTTTTGTTCTTTACAAACCAGGTTTGTAAAAAAATGTGTAAAACGCGTCATATGACGTACGGAAACCAAGGTTTGTCGACAAACCTCCTTTGTGAATTCGGGCCTTAGTGTCTCACTCTTTCTTTCTCTCTCTCTCTCTTTCTCTCTAAATGGAATTATCTGATACTCACTATCCGAGAATGGTATATATGTCAGGTGACTTCAACAAATGAAAACACATGTGACATGAGTGTAAACAGCTACAATTACATGGAAATGCACATGTATCCACTGCTATATACTGGATTGAAAACAAATGAAATATCAAATGCCATATATACTCCCAGTCCACTACCCTTCTACTCCCCTACCTACCCTCCTTTCCCTGACCTCGCCCCTTCTCTGCTTCTCCCATCTTGATCTCTTCCCCTCCCTCTTCCCCACTCATTCCCCCCTCCTAATCATTCTACACCTACCCTACCCATTCCACTTCCCTTTCTCACTCTTACCCCCTCCTCCTGTCCATCCTCCTTCTCCTCCTGATGAATACTTACCCATACTCCTCTCATCCTTAGACAATGGTTGTGACTTGCCTCTTCCTTTACCACTTCCCCTCCCCCTACCGCTCCCCTTTCCCCCTCCACCCCTATTCCATTACCCCTCCTTCTCCTCCTCCTCCTCCTCCTCCTAATTGAGACTTACCCATACTCTTCCTCTCCCATCTCAATCTCATCCTTGGACGACGGTGCTGCCTTTCCACAGCAGCTCACACAGATGAACATGAGCACACCACAGTCGTTCATGCAGAAGCAACAAACATCGATAAGGATGAGGAGGATGATGAAACAGGCTACGACAATCACCACTATCTCCGTCGTTCCCAGCTCGCCGATTTGCTGCTCGGGTCGATCTGGAGGAAAAGAGCATGGAAGGGCATGATTTGAAAACAGACAAGCAATTGCTTGTTTTTATACAAAGGTGCCACATGTGTAAAAGCAAGAATGTGGTCAGACCTACAACTTCACATCCTATTCAAGGGACTTTGTTTGGTTTCAGGCTTGATGCATTACTGAAGGTCAATAGTGCACTGGTTGTGTAATAGCATACCACTCTACTGAGCTATATCAATGGTATTTCTTGTTTTCTCTCTTCTTTCTCGCCACTTGCATTTAAACTTCTTCACTCAACCATCTTCTTCCCCTTTAACTCCTTCATTTTCTTCTTCGTCAACAAATGCTTTGATATGTGCTTGCAGAGTTTACCAAACAGTTACCCACTTGCATTGGACCAACTTCACCTTTCAAGATTCACAACTTGCTTATCCTTTATCACATAAAAATGATGTATTCATTTCAAGTGATGTAGTTCTCTCTTGTTCTAATGATAGTCTACAACCAACTTATTATCAGGGCCCCTTTGCATAAAACTTACCATTGATGGTAACTCTGCCATCAATGGCAGCTACCATGTTAGCAGGGCTCAACAGCCAATCAAAATCAAGGTTTCCATGGTAGTTACCATTGATTGCAAAGTTACCATCAATGCTAAGTTTTGTGCAATGGGCCCAGATGTATTCTCTGCGAGTGATGTAGCTCTCTCCTTTTCGAATGACAGTCTACAACCAACTTATTATCAGGGTGGATTTCTCATCAGATATTATACAGTCAACTGCAGAATAAAGATGTTTTGTGTTGTGTTGTGCCACATTATGTATACATCCATTTACTTTATTGATATGTGATTATTGTAAATATGTTATGCCGTTGAGTTGTATTTTCAATAAAAACAAAAATACAAACAAACAAAAACAAACTGCAGAATAAAGAGAGTTTGCCTTCTCCTTACATGGTTCTTCGGACGGGAAGACGAATCCACCGCGGGACTTGAAGTTGCGTTGGGCGGGTTCACTCTCTCCCTCTGCATTGATAGCTTTCAGCTCCACCAGGTAATACTTATTCTCATTGAGGGGTTGTAGCGTGGCCTGGGTCTCCGTGTACAGGACCTCAAACTTATTCGCAGGCCTTGAGCCAAGTTCATTGTCATCAGGACCATCAACCTACGGAGGTAGCATTTTTTTTTCACAAAATTTAGATTTCTTGAAGAGTATGCTGATGATAACACTGTCAAACCTGTCTATAGCGATGAAGCTCACAAAGTATTTATCTTCTTTACCTAAACTCCATATTCTCTTTAAAGGCATCGTTTAACAATGTTAAATTTGAGATGCATGTCCCTACGTGTTACCAGTGTCTGTGATATGGTGTAATATTGAAGCCTTCAAAAGAATTGCACTTCAAAATGATCAAGAAGTGGCTCAAAAGAGGACAAATCTTTGAGTGACCGGTTTTATCATATTTGTTTCCTCCAATAGACTGTAATGTTATAAAAACAGTTAGGAAAACGAAAAATGAAATTTCAATTTCCAATCATAAATATGTTGATAATCAGACAAGCGATCGGCTTGTAAAAGTCATGGGATTCCTGACTGACTATACTGGTTTATGATTATGATTGCAGCATAAGCTTAATAATAATAATAATACTAATCTTTTAAAGTCCACTCCAAATATTATTAAACCCAAAATGGAAATTCTTTTTGCCCAATTGATCGTGAGCCCGGCAGCCACTGAGCAGCGCCAGATCGACGTTGCTCTATCCCTTTATTGTTGAACGCCAAACAAGGTAGCAGCAACTCCCGTCTTTTAACAACTTTTGGTATGACGCGGCCAGGATTTGAACCCACGACCTCTCGGTTGTGAGGCGGACGCTCTACTGACTGAGCCAACACACCACCAACACACCAGGATTTTGTTTCAGAATCTGAGGCAATGTTATTGAGTCGCTTTAATAAGTGAGACTGTCCCGTACCTGAGCATATTCTATAAGGTATGCGGTGATGGCGCTGCCGCCGTTGTCCTGTGGGGGCTCCCAGGTCAGGATGTATTTCTCGTCAAACTCTGACTCCGTATCGGATGTGATTCTGGGCTGGTCCGGAACAGCTGCACGATGGATAAATGGAACGGAGCGAGGGATGGAGAGAATGGGAGATGGAGTGATGGGAGGATGGACGGAGAGAATGAAGGAACGATAGTGTGACAATGTTGAGTATGGAGTATGGGAGAGGATATGGGAGAATTTGAAAATGCAAAGTGAGCATGATGAGGGGAATGTTAAAACAGAAGGGAAGGGCAAGGAGAAAGAGAAGGTGTTTACAAGAGTGGATGAGAAGAAGATGGACATGGATGGAAGAGTTGAATCGGAAATGGATAGAAAAGGAAGGTTGAACGGAACCAACAGGAGGAGGACGGAAAGTGTAAGGAATTAAAGGTAAAGGAAATGGAAGGAGGGATGAAGAGAAGAAGGAAGATGAAGAGAAAAAGGAGAGGTGAGAAGATGGAAGGAGGGATGAAGAGAGGAGATGGAGAGAAGATGGAAAGAGAGATGAAGAGGAGAGGTGAAGAGAAAAAGGAGAGGTGAAGAGAACAGATGGAATGAGGGATGAAGAGAGGAGATGGAGAGAAGATGGAAAGAGAGATGAAGAGGAGGAGAGGTGAAGAAAAGGAGGAGAGGTGAAGAAAAGAAGGAAGGTGAAGAGAACAGATGGAACGAGGGATAAAGAGAGGAGATGGAGAGAAGATGGAAAGAGAGATGAAAAGGAGGAGAGGTGAAGAAAAGAAGGAAGGTGAAGAGAACAGATGGAAGGAGGAATGAAGAGAAGTTGAAAAGAGAGATGAAAAGAAAATGGAAGGAGAGATGAAAAAGGGTGAAAAAATACATGGAATAGATGGGTTTGTGTGAGGGAAAAGATGAGAGGGGAAAATACAATAAAATGGAAATTAATAGCAGGTTAGAATCGTGATTGATCTGCGTGAATAAAAATTGTTAAGCAACAAATATTTATGTCAGTTGTTATCCCATGCAAAAGACGGTTAATCGCTGACAGATTCAAAGATTAATTGAGGAAAAAAAGGATTAATATTGAAAATGATATAAACCACTCCAAAAGAACAAGATTAGTCAGTTATTAATAACACTTCATGAACAGAAAACCAGAATTAAAGTAATTAAACGCCTTTCTTAATCTCAGCACATGACTTGAGGAATAGAAGTTCAGTAAAGATTAACAAACATTGTTACATCACTGTCACTGTGCATCAATACACATCTAGAACACGGAACATGACCTTACTTACATTTGCAGTATACAGGTACAGTGTATGAGCATAAAAGTCTTTGTAAAATTATAGGAATCAGCATGTTTCCGGCTCCAAACAGACAATATATCCCAAACATTCAACCATTTCTAGACTTCTACTCAATCTATTATCTGCATTAAGTATATATATATTTATTCATTTATTTATTATTTTTTTATTTTTTTATTTTTTATTTTTTTATTTATTTATTATTATTATTTATTTATTTATTTATTTATTTATTTATTTATTTATTTATTTATTTATTTATTTATTTATTTATTTATTTATTTATTTATTTATTTATTTATTTATTTATATTTTATTTATTTATTTATTTATTTTTATTTTTTTTTTTTTGGGGGGGGCGGCAAGTCATATGCTAAAATCTGGAAAGATAGAGGAAGACCTTTGGGGGGGGGGACTTTTATTATCTTCAAGAGAAATATATTTTGAATTTGATAGCTGAAAACCTTTTCCAAGAATTTGAAGAAGAAAATGTAGGGAAAAGATGAAACCCTAACCGCGCCCCTGCTCTTTTTATTAGAAATGCAAATTAGTCTTTCTGCACACATTATGCTCCATGAAAACAAACTTCTTCTTTTGTAAAATATTTTGCAGCCTAAATTAATAAATAAAGATTGGAGATCCAAAACATTGTGCATAAAAGGCACTGCAACAAAGGATACTGGTTAAAAGAGTTTAAAGGATGTATTATTGTATCAGACTTAAAGAAATAGTATGATACAATAATAGTCAATAGATAATATCATTAGAGGAGCTGCATAGACTGGATGCCGGAATCTCAGAGTTTAACACATTCAGAGATCATCAAGTAACATCAGACCAATTTGAGATGAATGAACCAAAAGAAGTCGCACAATTCAGTAAAAGCAACACCTACAGAGTGTGTGCAGCCCTTCAATTTCATATTTTGTTGTTCTATATCAATGTGTTAATAGTTTCAAAACAAAACAAAACCAAAAAATTATGTTTTAAACACACTACACCAAATTAAACCATGTATGTGAAATAACAAGAAGAATAGAAAATGTGCAACAGTAGCTTATTACATAATTGCAAATTAGATAGAGATATATTAATAGCACCGATAAGTGTCAAATAAAGTAATATTTTAATCTAATTAAAGTTATAATCGAAAAGAAATTAAGGACAGGTCAGCATGTTAAGTTTAACATTAGGAGATAAGACAGTGCTCTCATTATGAGTCCTGCATACAAAAATATATATATTTCAAATGATACTGATCATAGATATATTTTTCAGTTTTCTCACACTTTAAATCATAATGTTAGTACATGCAGGCGCCCCTTACATTAGGAATCATGATTAAATGAAGATTTCAAAAATGAGACATTTTAACACCTTGGTTGCTTTCTTTGCCTCTCTGTAGTCGCTTGTTTGCCATAATTGTAATTTTGCACAAAACAATGCCACCAATTCATGAAAGAATTGCTTTGTGCAACAAAACGGCTTTGCAAAATTACTACATCCCAAGATTATATAGAGATTAGTTGTGTGGCATGTAAAGAGTTCATTGATTGTTCTTGTAATTCAAGGAGAATCTTATATGTTTTCCTTCATTTAATCCTTATTATTTTTGCAAGGGGCACCTGTTATAAAAAATAAAAAAAAGGAAAACTGAATTTACTACAAAACTGTATCATTCCCAAAATAAATGTAAACCATAAGGTAGTAAAAGTAAAAAATAAATAAATGGAAAAAACAGATTGCATTGTAATTGTCTGAAAAGTTGTGTCTTTGGTTTGAAAAGAAGATATAGAATCAAAGAGAGAAAAACTGCCTAAATACCAATGCTTTGGACTGATAGAGCTTGAAAAATGTGTGAGTTTTAGCCATGATTCTGAGGAGTATAAATCAATTGAAATGATATCAACAACTACCAACAACATAAAATAACGCTGTTTTGGGGGATTTAAAAAAATAATAATAATAATAATTGTTTTCTTCCTGATTGATTCACATATTCTTACATGAGAATGACTCCTTTTAAGTTCATGAGAATATATGCAATTTAAAATCTCAGATTTGTTTATCAAACTTGAGCAAAATCTCATGCAAAACAAAGACACTACTTTTAAGAGTTCATTATACTTTTGGCAATTGAGTTTGCTGGGATGACAAAACCTTGAGCGCCCAATATGGAAATACAGAAAGGCAAGTTAAAAGTTGATGCAGTAACAAAGTAACTGCTACATGCAACCACTTTCTTTGTCAGAAATTATTTGCTTTATTTTTGTAAATTGTCATATAATGTTTTGAGGGTACAACTCTGATTTTTAGCTAAGAGATTACACCCCCTCCACCCCCCCCCCCAAAAAAAAAAAAATAAATAAATAAATAAATAAAAAAAATTAAAAAAAATAAAAAAAATAATAATAATTAATAAATTAATTAATTAATACAAAAAAAAATGACATAAAATGTTGATCATCCCCCTCCACCCCCCCCCCCCCCAAAAAAAAATAAAAAATAAATAAAAATAAAAAAAAATAAAAATTAAATTAAAAAAAATAAAAATAAAAAAAAAAAAAAATAATAATAATAATTAATTACTTAATAAAAAAAAAATGACATAAAATGTTGATCCAAAATGGAGTTACAGAATTTTGTCACCCCAGCAACAATACATATTTTAAAACGTAGACATGTTAGTGAGCATAAACCTGCTTACATGTTACAACTGTTTCGGTGGCTAATCATGGATAAAATTGTCAAACATTGCATGATATAATGGCAAAATTTGATAAATTGTTTAAATTAATACATGCATCCAAACAAAAAGGATATAATGAAACATGAAGGAAGAACATGGAAAATATAATGATGGTACGTTACACATACAGCCGCAGCGATTAGATAGGGACGGGTCGATTGTAGAGATGAACATATATAGAGGGAGAGATGGGGGGAGGGAGAGAAAGCAAAGAGAATGCAAACGGATTGTTATGATCTTGTCTCCAACGATGTTCCAAAATTCATGTATGTAAAATAAAGGACAGGTATTTTTTGAATGCTTTAGTAATTCGCCTATTCATTCCAAATTGTCATATAGCAACACTTGTATTTTTCTTTTATATTTCTTAATTTTTGTTCTATCAAACAGCCATGTATTATGAAAGTTTACACAGTACGTGAATGGAACTATAAAAAGATGTGCTGTTACTCCTTTCTTCTTTTTTCTTTTTCTATTATTCATTACTAATTTGTTTGGAAAAAAAGGGATTGTTAAAAGTCTATATATGTTGCCAACCGATTGATTGCATGCTTATATATACATGTATATATATAACAAATTCTTATCTCTCTCTCATTATCACAAAGTGGTAACGAAAGTGTTACAGAAAAAACATTAAGTGTGAGAACACCAAAATTGAAATGCAGACAAGGGGAATAGAAGGAAACTGAGTATGCAGGTTGAAACCACCAATGTCAGTACCCTAATCTGTGATAATTTACCTTGGTATTATATTCTTTAACCCCTCCAACTTCGTATTACAACCAAGTGTGTAATATACCAATGAGAACCCTACAGGTACTTGTAGTTGCGTACATTCAATTATCTCAATGGTTCAAAATACCATTGCCTGTATGCGTGTATGAAATAAATAACCCTAATTTAGTAATACTCTCGATTGTCCTTCCATCGTGCGTTAACAGCAAGTGTGAGATATACTAGCAAAAGCAATTAATCCAGCATTTATGATGCACCAATTATCTAGAATATTTTTCTGGGGTGCAGAGGGATATTGAGAAGAATGATGTACTTCCTAAAAACCCAACTGGTCTATGACAGATGATGAATTAAGATTATTCACATTCAGACGGTTGAGCGTGTTCTCTTCGAGTGCGCTGTAGCAGGACCCCCATGCCCCCTCCCCCCAACTGATATTGACAGCCAATCACAATTTGTGTCATATTTAAACAATTGTCAGTTTTAAAGAGCTACGGTTGTACGCAAAATATCAATAATTTTTCATGACAAAATATATTTTAACCCATCAATATCCATCCCTCAAACATCAATAACATAATACATAAAAGAAAATGCTCATGACAACCAAAAAAATGAAGTACATCATATGAGTCTGACAATGAGTTTTTTGATGAAATTAATGACAATGAATCATGACTATATCAAATCCTACGACGGATTTAATGTTCCTACCTTTGATTGGGTATGGCAATGTGGCTGTTAATTCTATGCACCTAACCACGTTGTTGTTTCTTCTTATCTTACTGTATGAATACGAAACGCTGGTCTATATTAATTAGAACAAGCGCTTGGATGGATATTCAGTGGCAAATTAACCGCCGCAAATAAACAACAATGATGTTTTTTCCTTAACATGTAAATGAATGGCAGTTGTGTGCAAGAACGGTCCTGCATGTATTTACTGAGCTTTATGTTAAGAGAAAGGAAATGTGAACTGAAGCCTTTTACGTTTTTTATAATCACTATTTTAAAGGCAGGTTATTTTACTGACATCGCTACCACTGCTGTAATGTATCATCTATTGTCTTTCGGTGAAGGAGAACGTGGAGCCTTTCCAGGTCCAGTAACCAAGCATCACTACTCACGCGTCATCAGTTGGTGATGCATTGTGGGAAATGACTGTCTACACATTGGGACATTGTGAGCAGCAGATGGCAGTATGCGTAAAGCCGAAGTAGTGATGGTAGAATACCCTGCCTTTAAAAATATGACGAAGTTTACTGCTGCATATCGGGGGGGGGGGGGGGGGGGGGGGGGGGGTCAAACTTAACTCTAAGTTGGACTCAAAAATTATGGAGAGCCATTTGTAGCCTTAAAAAAAAGTATATTCAAAAGCGAAAATTCAAGTATGTTAGACTTTTAATAAATTCCACATCAAGAACATTAAATTATCTTGATAATGGAAAATATGAATGATTAGAATCAACATTTTATGCCTTATAAACTAACTTTTAGCAAAATATTTTCATAGATGCTAACGGCTTTCCATAATTGTTAAGTCCAACTTGGAGATAAGTTCAACTTAGGATCTTTGTGAAACACGCCCCTGACCTAGTCTTTACGGGGTCAAGAGAGGACCATGGCACTGCCAGGGTGAGAGAGTACTTACTGTTGGGTTCAGTGGTACCGTATACTCCTGTTGAGTAGATGCCGACACCACGGTCATTCGCTGCCGCTACCCAGACCTGATACCTAGTATTACCAGCTAAACCGGTAAGTACAACATCAGTAACTGAAGCGCAAAAAGGAGACAAAGACAGGAAAATAATAATATAATAAAAATAATATTTAATTTTTTATGTAGCGCTTAATACAAATGTCTCTTAGCGCTTTACAAATATACTATTAATAGTTATGCTTTGAGTTTCATTATTGCCATGAGCAGAAGCATATGAAAATTAAATCTTCCTTAATTTGTAAAACTATTTAGTTTTGTGATGTAAAATAAGAGAAACGCATAGAAATTGTAATCTATCGATAAGAAGTATATAAATAATATAATGATAATACTGGTCACATATGTATTGCTCTAAATACTACATTTCTAAGGGTCTCCCATTGTAATCATCATTCCCTCCGTAATTGGAAACATTTACGAATCTGCACATAATAGTGCCCACGCTCCGCTCCCTGGGTATTCCAGCCAGGCAATATTTTACAAGCGCACACATGCGAATCCAACCACCTTAACCTTCGCATCCTACCGGGTATCCATCAAACACCTACACTGTATATAAGAAGCAAACATTAAAACTGTTAATATTATTAAATCTCAGATATGCTCCATAATGTACGAGACAATCTACTACTTGGACTTGTCCTAGCTAGCATACAATCCTATAGAGTACCGAATTTGTGACGTCAACAATATCTACTTTTAGAATTTCTCAATTTTTTCTTCATTTTCCGAAAGAGCATCAAAAATGATGTCCAAATGTCGAAAACCAATTGAATATGTTACGTATTTGCCGAGATATGACCGTCTAAATGAATGTATTTCCTATAGGAACTCAGTGTTATATGCTCTGGCTCCTAACCATTAGGAGCCAGAGCATATAACACTTTGATGACGTCAAACTTCACCACTCTATTGCCTATCCTTCTCTATAAGGTTCTGAGTTGAAATACGTACTGTTATCATATTCCATTGATTCATTATCTGAACCCGAATTGTACATGACCACGTAGTGCTGGATGTCGAAGCCGCCATCGTTCTCAGGTTCGTCGTACAAGACTCTGATGGTCGATGAGGAGATGTCTGTCAGACGCACATTCTCAGGCTCGGTTGCAAAGGCTGACAATAAAAATATCCAAAAAATTTAGGGTATTTAATGACAATACCAATTATATTGATTAATTGATTGATATGAATTTACTACATTTTATATCAATTTTTTCCACGATAAAGAACATAGTTGACAAAGTAAGTTCACAATAATGAAATGAAACCAGAGCCAACGGGAAAGCATAGCTTGTTTTGTGTAGGTTCCCAAGAATAAATATAATATGATCATTACTTTCATAAATCATTTTTAAAGTGTTAATAATCACATTAAAATAAATATAATATAATAACATATTTTAATAAACCAATTTAAAGTGTCTAAATAATCGAAATATATTGAAAGTTTGTCCATTTACATGTACATGGGTAAGTGAAACCAAGCAGCTACTATACAAATTCATAATAATCTACTGCATTTTAAAATTTGTATTATAGTTAGCCGAGCTACGACTAAGGCTTTAATGCATCTAAGGAACACTTTCCTACCAGTAACACATCTACTTCACCAGGGTCAAGAGTGGCAAATGTATGTTCATGCCTTGAAGGGGGCTGATACTGCTGTGACAAGAATAGACCAGTTCATGGTTAGCACATTACTGCAATGACCCCGAATATCCACAGATCTCCAAAACATGAAGATGTCCCACTTTGTAAATTTTGAAATAATCACTCCTACAGCGATGGAGGTGCTATATAAATAGCCTTTGTTTCCCCTTTTCAAAGAATACTTCCACCTGTGCATCATGGAGTGCAATGATTGTGCATGAATGAATAATGTTTACATAACTTTCATCCAGTATTTCGTCTCCGTGTATTTCAAAATTTGTTCTGCAATGACCTTTATCTTCTCATGCTCAGACTGCAACCGTGAACTGTCTTATTGAAACCCTTATCACATGACCTCGACAGAGAGAGAGAGAGAGATTCTTGAATAATTTCAATAATAGGAAATTTACAAGCGTGTTCTTACCTCCTTCCACCAGTTCAATTCGTTCGCTGATGTCTCCGTTCCTGTTTACGCCCTCGCAGTAATATGGAGCAAAATCAGCTGCAGTTGGTACAATCTACAAAGAAATCATTGAATTGAATCTAATTTATTTATTTTCGACATTTCCATTAAAAAACAAAAACGATATACACGATATATACATGATAATTATCAACATATTAATGACCCAATAAAAATTAGGAAGAAAAAAATAAGCAGGAACAAAAGCAGAAATACAGAATAACGTTAAGAGTACAAACAAATTAATGCCAATGTTGGGGATTATAAAAAGTGATGAACTTATAACATAACCCCCATGTTTGTATTATTATGTTGGAAAAGAAGACAAAATAAAACAAATTAATAGACAATAATTACAAGTGAGTTGAGGTAAATGAAGGACTGGACTTTTAAGAATTAGTATGAAACCATATAACGGCTAATCACAGCCTCCAACGTAACTGGTCAGCTTGGAAACTACATTAAACTCAGGTTGAAATCGTAGCTAAAACCCGAGTGAGATACCGGTATTTCTGAGATGAAGTTTTGAACTGACTACCAGCCAACATGTCATCAGTGACAAATGACAATTTGTGTTATAAGCTACTGAAATCCTTGCTTCTGATTGGTTGTCAGCAGATTTGTCACTGATCTTTGTAATAAGGCTGTGCACAAAAGTGTAATGAGGTACCCGAGTACACTCCCAGGCTCACAAGCGAATACTCGAATATTCGGACGCCATGTTTTTTTATAATTTTTTTAAATTTTTTTGATTTTTTTTGATTTTTTTTATTTTTTTTTTATTTTTTTATTTTTTGATTTTTTTTGATTTTTTTGCCACTACCATACCACTCGGCAGTTTCCCAGGTCCCTCGCCGAAAACGCATGCAATTTTACTTTGAGTTGCAGTTGAAGGCGCCGATTTAATAAGAATAATAACAGTAAACAATGCTGTTTTAAAAACCAAAGATGGCAGAATAATCCATTTTCCTCCAAGTCCAAACAGACATCTGGACATTTGGTCCCAGTTTCTGAAAGGTGAGTTTGACAGTGCTTGAGTTGGGGAAAAATTTTTACCGACGGTACCATGCCAGCGGCCGTCGCTCTCCCTGGCACGGGTAATCGTGGGCCTGGACATTTTTTTTTTTTTTTTTTTTTTTTTAAATTTAATTTTTTTTTTTTTTTTTTGCGACCGAATATTCGGGTACAAGAAATCGTACCCGAGTAGTTTTCAACCGTGCGGGTACTCGAGCATTCGACTTCCCATCCCAGCCTTACTTTGAAATTTGTCAACGACAAAAGGCTTTGTGAAAGGCCCCCCTGGTACTCACCGACATGACCGACATTCCGCTGGGTTGGTTGGGTAAAAATGTGATGGTGTCTGTCACATTTACAGTGACAAATATCTCGCCTTGTTGGATACGCCAGCGAATGACGGGAGATGGATAGCCGTTGATGGCGCAAGACATGTTGACAGGATTACCTGGCCAGGAGAGGACACGAGAGGGCGTCTGACTACGGTCAATAAATGGTATGGCTAGGGGGGAGAGAGAGAGAGAGGAAGAGAGATTGATTGATTGATTGACTGAATTGGTTAATTTACACAAAAATATGACAAGAAGTTCAAGGCTGATATTATACGTTTCACAAAGTAATCAGATATGTACAATATCATAATACCATCATCAAAATACAAAAGCAGTACAACAAAACAAGATTTCCTGCTACTCATTTTCACAGTTTGTTTAAATTGACTTAACATAATGCTCATAATTTGTATATTATCACATGTATATATTTGCTCGTTTTTTTAATTGAAATAAAGTCTTTTTAATTGAATTTTGAATTGTATTTGTCACATGAAGACGAATGAGGTGGTCTGCCTTTATTTCTTCAAAGGATCTATGGTGGAAACTGGGAAATGAGAGATGGAGGGGGGGGGGGAGAGGTGGGAGAAGATACATGCAGGTATGGAGAAAAACGGTTATAGACATGTAAACAATTCTATGTCCATGGGAGAGACGTAAACATTGCATATACCTGGGCTGAATAACTGGAAAATATAAACGTATTGGAAGGAGACTAGCATCACAGACATGGGACGATTTGATATTGTAGCAGACTTGGGAGATTAACCATAAAGGTTTGATACACGATATGGAATCATATTTCCCACAAAAGACCCATCGGGTTGTACGCAAACTATTGACATTCCTCTCCCAGAGAAATAACACGCAATATTATGCATTTTTTGTTTGTGATTGTATATATATGTTATGATAGTCTAAGAAGGGGATGAATAAAATGTAAATTGAAACCATGACCCGGGGGGAATCGAACCTTGAACCTGGGTCGATTGAATGGAAGGAAAGTGCTTTAACCCATATACCAAAATTCTCCACATAAACATTAAATGAAAACAGAAAATGGGATTCTCAAATCACATCTTGTAGCTAAAATATACCATGATCCCAACATCTGAATTAAAAAATAAATGTCACCTCCCACGTAGAGAACTTTTTCAGCCAAAATATATCCGAAGCTTGCAGAAAATCAAGCAAAAATAATCGAGATATTGCTCAAACAGACTGGAATGTAGAATGAAGATTTCAGAAAAAAGTTACCTCCCGTAGAGAATTCATGCAAAATTGGGAAAAAAGAAATGCTTCCTTTAATCGTTTGAATAGGCCATGATGCCATTGTTAAAATGAAAAATAAATATCACCTTCAGTGTAGACAATAGGCTTGGCTACAACACATAGCAAATTTGGAGACAAAACGATCAATATTTACAGAGATAAACTGAATTTCCGATTAAAAAACGGCGCCTGGGTGTCGTCATGATAACCTGATAAACTTGAAAATGTTGCTGTCACGTCTTATGACAATGACCATGACTGTGCCAAGATTGAAAGAAATTGACTGTACTGATCTTGAGTTTAAGTTTGAAATTTGTTTATTCCACATTTTACCCCCAAAACAGGTTAAATTCTTTATATATTTTTGTTATACAGGCGTATATTATATAAGAGTAGATTTCACACAAGAAAAAAAAAATTAAAATTAAAGATTTCAAATGAAGTATAATGTACGGAAAATAAGTATGAAATTTCGAAATATCTAGATATAACACGCAAGATAAAAAACAATGTAAAATGTGGGGAGCTTAAATAAAAAACAAAGCTTGTATGTGAATAGGCTCCCGTACTGGACAAAAAAGTGAAGGTCAAATAAATAAAAATAAAGAATAACAAAGAAAGAAAATTTTGACAAAATTAAGAGGTGATCTGTCGATGACAGACCACCCGAAAATAACAATGGTAACATCACACAGCAATGTCATAAAAGATTTAGAAAAATGTTTCGCAGTTGTGGATAAATAGATAGTTATCAAAATTTTAAGGAATGTCATTGAATATTAAACTATAAATTTAATTAAGCACATGTTCAGGAATATTAGGCTTATTGCACAAAAAATATTACTTTTGACAAACAATTTTACTTGAGTAAGTGAGAGAGGGACAGAGTTGATCTATCTCTATCGTTGTCTTTGTCATTATCATTGGTCATTGGTCATTTTTCATGCATTGTCTTTACATATAATCAATGTCATTGTCAGTGACATTCAGCGTGTTTCCACAGAAAACATCGACATGGTATTATCCAAGTCATATCGTGTCATACCGTGTCATACCATGTCAGTTTTCCTGTGGAAACACAAGCGTGTCGGGTCAAGTTGACCGAGATGCGGATTATCAGATCCACCTCTGGGAGGTGGATCTTGACATGTCGATCCCAATGAACTCCCTGTAAAATCTCTGTGGAAACACACAGCGACGAACTGTGTCTGGCGGAGCATCAGAGCGCGCGAAGCCCCAATCACCACTGCAGCGTGATTGGTTGAAAAATACTTTGAAATACGCGTATACAATAATATCTTTATATACACCCTGTACGTAACAATGAAAAATGTACGTCACAATAGAATAGCGTGGAATCCTGTGTAGATCTGAATCCACGATCGAGGTCAAAGGTTGAATCTTGACTTCCGATTGACACGGCATTTGCCTGACTTGGAACACGGAATCGTGGCGATTTGGAATGCTGCACTCAGTGGAAACAGATTGGTTTAATACCGTGTCGCCACGACACGGATTTCAATCCGGAAAAGATAATCCGTGTTCCACTTTTTTTCTGTGGAAACACGCTGTATGTTGGTGTAATTGTCGGTGTCATTGACATTGTCATTGACATTGTCGGTGTCATTGTCGGTTTTATCACCTCAACAAAGGATACTTACATTCAATGGCGAGGAAATGGGTGACATGTGCATTGCCCGCATCACTTTCTGCAAAGCAAGTCCATCCTCCACTGTGGTCGTAGTTAGATGGAGAGAGAGAAAGGGTAAGGGTCCTTCCAGCGTCTTTACTTGTTACAGTCACTCTACCATCCAGATTCTAACATAGAGGGAGAGAAAAAAGGAAAGAGAAAAAAGAAAGAGAGAAAAGATGCAAAATTATAGTGTTCCTTTATCAAGCCAGCCAACATTTGTGGAAATGCCTGTTTATTATCAACCATAGTGTGGGGGAATAGATGGTCCAGAATACCCATCATAACCATCATCATTAGTATCTACAGTTGTCACTCTCCTTACCATCACTATTACCATCTTGATCACTATGATCATCATCATGATAATCATCAACATCACCATCATAGGAAAACAACATCATGCTCATCATCATTATCATCATCATTGTTGTAATCATCATTTTTGTCATCGCCATTGGCATTTGCATCCCCACCACCATCATCATCACCATCCTAATCCTCATCACCATCACCTTCACCATCGCCCTCCTCCTCTTCCTCATCCTTACTCACCCGTACCCTCACCCTCACCACCACCAACACCACAACCCAACCATCACCACCATCATCACTATCATCATCATCATCATCATCATCATCATCATCATCATCATCATCATCACCATCATCACCATCACCACCCTCACCATCTTCCCCTTCCTAACTCTTACTTACCCTCACCATTACCACCACCACAACATCATCCTCATCATCATCACCATCCTCCTCCTCACCCTCACCCTTGCTCACCCTGACTGACCCTGACCCTGACCCTCACCAACTTTCTCTCCCCCTCACTGTCGCCCTCCCAACCTCACGATCACCATCCTCCTCCTCCTCACCCTCACTGACCCTCATCATCTTCCTTTCCCTAACCCTCACCACACCATTACCAATTTCCTCTCTCCCTCACTGTCACCCTCACCATCTTCCTCTCCCTACTCACCCTCACTGACCCTCACTCTCTTTATTTCCCTAACCCTCACCTTTAATCACCACCACCACCACCACACCATCACCAACTTTCTCTCCCCCTCACCCTCACAACCTCACCATCCCCCTCTCCTCCCCCTCTCCTCTCTCTCACTACCACCACCACCAACTTCCTCTCTCCCTCACCCTCACAATCACCATCCCCCTCTCCTCCTCGCCCTCTTTATTTCCCTTACCCTCACATTCACCACCACCACCACACCATCACCAACTTCCTCTCCTCCTCACCCTCATCCTCACCATAATACCTTCTCTCACCCTCACACTCACCATCACCACCTCACCATCACCACAACCCCACCACCACCACCATCCCCCTCCTCATCATCATCATCCTAGTGAACTTACCCAGCTTCCTTCATTGACGATGTCATCTTCCGTGGTGCCATACCTCCTCCACGTGAGGGTACCTTCAGCATCCGATCTAGTAATCACACAATCCATACTGAAATCATCTCCTTCCATCACTGTCTGATTGTTCTGGGAATTGAGTGCTGGGGGGATCAGAACCTCTAACCTGCACAACAAGAGAGAGAGAGAAAAAAACAGTTAAACAGCACCCTATCACAATTTCAGACATACAACTCCTTCACATGAATAACAATAACTATGAATAATAATATCTATTAATAACTCTTTTTCCCTGAATATATTTGCATTGTTCGCTCGATCTAAATATGTATAGGTTCACATCATGACTATTATCCACTCTTTTCTCTGTTATGCATCATGATCATGTGATTGCTGTAGCTGACATGGGAGTTCACTCTCTAACACTACTTGCTCTTTTCAATCATATTCAAAATTGTTGGTTAATATATTATTTTTTTTACCAGTGTTACATGGACATCACATTTATATAACATTACATAAACCTTGGGTCTAGAATATTGATTCACCATGAAGGTAGAGTACTTCTCGTAGTTGGCTATGCTTTTCATGACAAATTCTATTTAAGCCAACATTGCTATGGTTGATAGGAGACAAAAGTTTCTCACTTCTGGTATGTCACAAAGATTGCCCCAACCCCATGGAATGAACATAACACCGGTGGGGTGACAAAACCTTGTATCTCAATTTTTTGAGATTTTGATTTTTTTGCATAATTGTGTACCTAATGGCCTACGACACCACCTGATAAATTCATGGAACGCCTCCTGTCTCGGTTTTCTCACAAATTCCACACAAAGGACGGTGTCACAGCACTAAATCTGTTGAGACAGGAAATGTTTTTTCGCTCTCCTGAAAATTCATGATTTTTGAGATACAAGGTGTTGTCACCCCACCGACGATATGCCAAACCATGACTAACGCAAGAGATTTTGTTATATCAGTGGCAACGTGAAGCATGATAGAGGTTTTTTTTTACAATGTGCAATCCCGCCTTTGGTATACTACACATCGAGGGTTCAGTGACACAAAGACGTAACTCCATATTTTGCCGAAATGAGTATTTGATACCAAAAGGTTCAGAAATTGTGGGCTTTCCAGGACACACAACGACTTAACTCCACCCAAAACCCAATTGAAGTCAATGACTAGTAAAACATAGACTAAACTCCTAAAGGCCTAAGTGCTCAGTGACACAAACCACTATTTCTCAAAATGGCCAAAATGGAGTTACTTCTTTGTGTCACTGAACCCTTGACATATGCTGAGGCAAGACGAACCTAAGAGCTGCTGTTAACTCGGTGGTGAAGGTAGAGTTGATGGCATCATTGGAAGCAACGCAGGTATAGATCTGGTCGTCATCTGCCTCAAGGTTCAGTACTGTGAAGAACTCGCCATCGTCGGCAAGCTCGTACTTGCCCTCTAGGGGAGTGATTTTCTGGCCCGACTGGTCCTCCCACGAGTAGATGGGGTCCGGTGTTCCGGAGGCTGCGCACTGGATCATTGCAGTGGTGCCCTCTACGGCCTTGATGTCTTGAGGTTCCACGGTCCATTCAGGAGGCACTACGGCAGAAAGCAAGATTGAAATGGGTTAGAAAGGGGTATCATCATCACAACTATCACCACCAAAATCATCATCATCGTCATCATCATCACCATCATCACCATCATCACCACCATCCACTCTCTCCTTTCCCCTTTTTCCTCTCCTGTTCTTGACTACTCTTTCATTACCCAGAATTTCCTCCTTTCCTCTTCATCTTTCTCTCCTTCTCCGTTCTTTTCTCTTCCTACCCCCTTGCCCACTTCTCACTTACCTCCAAATTTATCCAAATACTCACATTTTACATCTTTGTTTAATATATTATTATTTTATATTACCAGTAGGTTGCGAATTTCATTGTGTTAAGTATGTTATCATTATCGTGTCTTTCTGTGTATTCATATTCAACGTGATTCCTACATGATATCTTCTATGTCAGTATTCACAGAATTACTGAAAGTAGTCTTTTTTGGAGATGGGGGATAATGCAATTCAATCAGGAGCCCTTGATGTAAAAAAACGTTCATTTGAGACATAAAATCAACTATAAACTGGGGGGTGTTCCACACAGATCCTAAGTTGAACCTATCTTTAAGTTAGACTTTAACAGTTATGGAAAGCCATTAACATCTATAAAAAATATTTTGTTAAAATTATTGTAGAAGGCATAAAATGTTGATACAAATCATTCATATTTTTATTATCAAGGAGATTTCATGTTCTTGATGTGGAATTTATAAAAATTCTAAAATATTTGAATTTACGCTTTTGAAATATTTTATTTCAAGGCTACAAATGGCTCTCCATAACTTTTAAGTCCCAACTTTAAAGTTCGACTTAGGATCTTTGTGAAAATCCCCACTGGTATATCTACCTTGTACTATGACAGCGATGGTCAATGTTTGAGAGTCTCCTGTCGAGTCGACGGTCGCGAAACACTCGTAGGAGCCAGAGTCTGTGGCTACCACATCCCGTACATCTAGGATAGCTATCTCGGCATGTTCAAATCCTGGCCTGTCTGGCTCGACGATCATCTGGGTGCTCATCGTGTACCTGTCATTCTCTGAAATGATAAAGATAGTGATAATAATATTAATAACAATAACAATAATAATAATGTTGATTGATGATGATGATGATGATAATGATGACTGCCGGGAGCCATCAGGGTTGACGAGTCCTGGGGGGGCGTTCCACAAAAATTGTCATCAGCTACTGAAATCCTTGCTTCTGATTGGTTATCAGCAGATTTGTCTCTGGTTTTTGTCATTTGTCATTGAAAGAAGGCTTTGTGAAACAGGTCCCTGGCCTTGAGGGGTGTATAGCTGTTACCGAGCGTTCCTTGCAGACATATACACTATATATCACCGGATATACCAAGGAGGCGCCATGACTAATTAATAGAGATTAGTTGTCTCGTAACCCAGGGGTCCCGGGTCCAAAACCAAGTCTTATTTATAAACCAAATCTTCATTACCAAGGCCCCTGGAGAGGACTTTAAGCTGTCAGTCCCCTGGTTGTTTACTTTCAAATGATCTTGTACATCTTTTGATACCAGGAGAAAAACACAAGACTGCATTGATCAATTTCTTTCAATCTCCCTTTTTTACCAAAAATTTGCAAGAAATTTAAATACTTTAAAGATACTATGTCCCTTTTTCAGCCAACATCAAATTCAAACTTTGCAGGAATTATGAATATGTCATTTTTGTCCTATCTGTGAAATTTAAACGAAGTTCTAAATTGGTATTTACTTTCAAATGCCGTTGAAATTTAACTTTTTCATTTTTTTGGCCTGCAAATGGGACATAGTACCTTTAAATATGCGAGAAAAACCTGACTTACCATTTGTTTGGTCGAGGAACTGTCCATTGAGCTTCCAATATACAGAAGGGAAGGGATTGGAATTGATAGTACATTCAACTCTGCCGCTGTTTTCAATGAGTAATCGCTGACTCTCTTCTGCTGCACTCACTGGGAAGGTAATGGGAACTGATGGAGAAAATGGAGAAGAAGGTAAAAAAAAATGAATTCAGATAAACGTGAAAAATAACTTGTTAGTGTTCTTTTTAAAATAAAGCCCCACTGCACTACTTATAGCAACTTGCGCCCTCTATTTGGCAAACAATGCCTAAGCGGTGACAATTGGTCCCCCATGGTCCCCTTTTTCTTATTTTAATTGAGAGCTGATTTGATGAGATAACCACCTGTCAGTGACCATGCAGGGAGGTCTAATCCCTCCTGACCAAATGAGTGCAGATAGGCTTGAAGAATTGTAGACAAGCAAAGTCTCATGAAAATGATTTCCAATTTCATGCGCCGTCATATTACAAATGCATGTACATATATGACAAGAAATGCAAGTTTGGACATAATGTTTATACGGTCGAATGTATTAATATGTGCCAGGTGCTTTTCACTGTTAATGTTTCAGCAAGGTTAAGCCTTTTTCTTAAAAGACTTCACATTATCAAGGTGTTCCCCCTTCATGAAATAATCAACCATTCAAACTAATTTCAAGATTGTTCCTGTGATAATGCAATGAAATAAAAAGAACTCAGCACAAAAAGCCAGACTTTTAAACAGATATTTTCATAAAAGGAGAGAAATCTAGAGTTCATAACATGAGTTTGAAGACGTCGCCCCAAAAATAAGAATCCTTCCTCCAAAATAAGAAAGGCTTGGCAGCTATTTCGATGGCTGGAACACTTCCAAGACTTACTTGTTACGATGATGCGTCTTTCTTCCTCATCTGCACCGATAGCGCACGTGTAGACGCCATCTTCTGTTATCTTCACGTTGGAGAAGGTCAACCTTGTGGTGTATAGCTGTCCGGATGGTGAAGGCTCGATGGACTGGCCGGTATAGACACGTTCATTGCCACCTGAAAAGAGGAGACGAGCAGAGTTTTTAAAGTAGTCACCCAAAGAAAATTCATGACAACTGATACTTATGGACAAATTATATATGGATGGAAAGATTTTCTCTTGAATAATATGAATAATTTGCTGAAACATAAAATAGATATCATGGAAAGGTGTAAAATGAAATGTTGTGGCTAGCAGTGTCTCGCATGTGAGGTCACAAATCTTGACGCTCTACTGAGGACCACTAAAGGCAGAAAATCTGGATCTCAATTTGAGAGGTAAGTTGTTATATTTGATCAGTGAGGCTTCCCCGTCGCAATGCTATGAATTTTGCATAAATTCAAAACACGTTTAATTCTTCGGGTGACTACTTTAATCTGTAGTTTAATTTCACCAAAAGATAAGTAATTTCACAATTACAGGGTATTCACAGATTTGAGAACTCCATTGGGTTCCTTTTTCTCAATGTATACAGCTCAAACTCTGCCTCTATGCTTACAACAGTTTAATCATGAATACTGCCCCCTCTTACCTTACCGACATGATTATTCCTTACAAACCCACACGTAGGCCTAAACTTAGTTCCATAACTTAGACCTCTAGACTAAAAATTCCCATATATACATATGTATCAACTCTTTCTGGTGCTGCTAAGCCGATGACATACCATTCTCAATATGAGCAATAGAAAAACTGTCAACAGTAATAACTAAAAAAAAAAAACAAAACAAAACACTGAAGAACCATCTTTTGCCACAGAGCTAGTCTTTTTGTGTCTAATTCCTTTTTCTTTTTGATACATTGTATGTGCTATGGTATTTCTTAGTCCATAGTGCAGTATAACCATTATCATTATTATCATTATATTGTAAGACATCAGAAATGGGTCTGGATACAAAGTACGAAAAGGGATGAAAGAATCGCTTGCTTAGAACTAGCCCACTAGTCCATGTCGCACACCCAATCAGCTTAGAAAATAACCCCCCCCCCCCCTCATTGCTGAACCTCGACAGTCCTTGCCTCTCATTCTCTACCCCTGATTACAACGGTTGTTTTGGGGGATCGCGATGACTGGAGACACTGTGTGGGATGCATGTAAGTGAGGAGGACATAGATGATTGAAGAATAAAAAATACATAAAAAACAGACAGAATCAGGATCCCGTTTCACAAAACCCTTTTTCAATGACAAATTACCAAAATCAGTGACAAATCTGCTGATAACCAATCAGGAAGCGAGGAGTTCAGTTGCTTATAACAAAAACTGTCATTTGTCACTGATGGCAAGTTTTGTGAAACACCCCCCTGGACTAGCTTACCACCGGATGACGTCTGGATGACCGCGCCAGCCTCGTTGGTCCAGACGGGGTATACTTGAGAGGAAGCGTCTCCATTCTGGCACTTGTACGAGAAGGAGTCTGTCGATTCCTCAGCTATTGCCTTGTCAAATTGAGGGGTAACTGTAACTTGGGCAGCTGAAAGATGAAAGAAGAAGAAAATTGTAAGAGATTACTAATACATTGGACGACTGAATTATTGTCTTATTCATTATTATTTCTTTGAAATATCAACTGAAACTACATGTACACTGTCTGTACAGGTATGTGGCAAAAGGTACAAACAAATGTATAAACTAACACAAATGAAGATGGAGGAACATATTCATGCATACCGGTACCGGTATATATTATATAAGAACCATACACATTGTAGGAAAAACCTAGCACATGATTTGTTTGAGAGAGAAGAGAAGAGAGCTGTTGTGTGCAATTTTCAAACTTTAGACCATTTACACCAGATGACTCAAGCCCTGATTGAATGATTCCTTTAATATCAAGCTCTTTTTAGAAAGGCGCTACACCTCTTGTTTGTATACATAACCATTCTAAAACGACACATTTCATTATTCTACATTTCATAGAACAAGAAATATTTAATACAAAATTTCATGTGACTTCTACTAAAAAAGATCAGCTGCACAATGTGCCAATGGATGAGATGGAAGTCTGAAAAATCTTTGAACCAGAATTGATTTGATCCAAGATCATGTATTACTATCCTGGTAGCGGTGGTGCCAACAGAAAAAAAATTTGATTGCATATCATGTATCCAGTCTTCATATAAAACATCATGTAATTGTCATAGTCTTGCTGGTATCGCATAAGGCCTGTCTTCATCAGCTCCATTTTGCCAAATATCCCGCTATTTTCAAACTGGGGATATTATCCCGAAGCTTGAAAATTGCATCTTCGCCAGACCCATACGTTAATCACAAACTAGTTCGGACGAGCGCAATTAGCCCGGTATCTTCCAAATAGTGGGATATTTTGGAAACAACTAATTTTAGGCGAATTAGGACAACAGCACCAAGGCGTCTACATAGTATTAGGTGCTTTAAAAAGTAACCATATTATCATTATTATTATTAAACAGCACCTTTAATGTGGTACATGGTATAGATGTACCGATATGTCCATAGATGTAGATGTATGTGACATCTTCTTTATGAGTTTCAGCAGTCATCGGTATTAATTCTTGCTACAGCTAGTATACATCACCAGACTACACAGACAGATGGTGTGTTATGTAACTCATCAGCAGTGTCTTTTCATACCACTAATCTACTGTGGTTATTCAGTTAACAGTGGGAGGTGAAAATCAATGGATACTCAAGCACACATGGATAATGATTCATAGAAAAATCTTTGCTAAGCAGAGATTGAGTCACTCAATACAATCAGTGATGAGGCATGATAGATCCTCAACGAGTTGGTGTTGGTATTTGTCTTTGTCTCTCTCTCTCTCTCTCTGGTCCATCTCTCTTTCTCTGTATTTCTTGTTCTTTCTTGGTTTCTCTTTATCTTTTCTTCTCTCTCTAATCCCTTTACTCCTCCTCCTACTTCTTCACCATGTTCTCCTTCCTCTTCTTCTTCACCTACCCCTTCCTCCTCTTCTCTTCTCTTCTCATCCTCTTTCTCTTCTCTTCTCATTCTCTTTCTCTTTCTCTTCTCTTCTCTTCTCTTCTCTTCTCATCCTCTTTCTCTTCTCTTCTCTTCTCTTCTCTTCTCATCCTCTTTCTCTTCTCTTCTCTTCTCTTCTCTTCTCTTCTCTTCTCTTCTCTTCTCTTCTCATCCTCTTCTCTTCTCATCCTCTTTCTCTTCTCTTCTCTTCCTCCTCCTACTTATTATTTATCCCCCTTCTTTTTGTTATTCTTCTTATTTCTTCTCCATCTCTTCCTCTTCCTCTCGTTCCCTTTCAATCATCCTTACCCAGCTCTTAACTGTGAAGGTTTCCTTCTCTATCTTTCTCCTGCTCTATCTCTCTAAATCTAGATCTAAATGTTTAAACTGTGGAACCTGCATGTAAAGACCATATTTTCCTTCTCAGATGCCAAAGAGACCATAATTGAGTACATGCAGTGCAGGCAATTGACTAAATGCCTACAAGACCAGATTGAGAAAAGTCCAGGCAATGGACTAAAAGTGCCTACATGTGAACATGACATTTTAAAAATAAAGGACATTTAAATTATGCAGATTTTGAAATAATAGTACCCCAAGCACATTACATAATCTGTATTGTGTTCTATGTCAGCCCTGAAGATTGCACTTTGCACATTTCTGTGTATAGTACTTGCTAATTCAAGATGTACTGTGACACATGCATGCATGACACACAGGGATTTGTATTGCTATTATCAAGATTTATGATTAATGATTAACATGGTATAAATCCCAAAATCTTGTTGTCAACATTCCTCCCTTTAAAGGTACTATGTTCCATTTGCAGGCCCAAAAAATTAAAAGGTTAAATTCCAACGGCATTTGAAAGACAATACTAATTAAGAACTTCTCTAAAAAAGAGGGGGCTTGAAAATGTCTTTAAGTGGGAAAATAATGACTATTAGTTGTCAAATCGACTTAGGAGCTATATAGAGCCAGTAAGTAATAGTCTGATTTTTCAGACCATTGTACCGAATGGTCTTACATTTTATGCTGCGCAAAGATAGGACATACATGACATATTCATAATTCCTGCAAAGTTCTACAGAATTTGATGTTGGCTGCAAAAGAGACATAGTATCTTTAAATGACTTGTTACCTGGAATATCAAGGAAGTGAGCTAGGGAAAGGCATAAAAGGCATAAAAGGCCATTGCACAATAAAGTTTGACTAGCATACAAATTATATGTTAATTCTATTTTCAAATCTTAATTGTCACATGTATAAACAGAAAGAATCAACTTTTCTACTTCAGCCTATAATAAACTAGGAATATCTAGGAAGAAAGCTAGGAAATGCGTAGAAGGCCATTTTGCAATCAAATCTTAATTCTAGTTTCAAATCTTGATTGTCACAGATATAAACAGAAAGAATGTAACTTTTTGATTACAACTTATGCTAAAAAAAGAAACATTTCAAGGAAACAGGAAAAGGTGTCCATTATCAATGCAACTGTGCTCTGGTTTATCAAGCCGTTAATAGGGCAGTCCATCCCCCATTATGATATCAAGTTGCGGTTTGTCCCCATGTTCAGACAACCATAATTAATTCATCTTATACATGTAGCTTGGCTATAGGAAAACTAATCACCTTTGGTCTAGTCTGAACATAATACACAGAAACCACGTATCGTCAAACATCAAAACCAAAAATGATTGGTTTTTCTCACATTTCATTGTTTCGCAACGAAAAATAGAAAGAGAAATAACCCACCTCCGGAATGTGTTTTTTGTTAAAACGCCTGCTGAAGTTTCACAAAATTGTTGCAGTGTTAAAAGCAAACTTTGGTGAGATACTGTTTTGGGGGCTAAAAACTTCTTCTCCCAAGAACTCAACCTTCTCTTTAAATGTCGAGTTCAGGTAGACTTTCCCTTTAAAGCTCTAGCCAATCTGCTAGGTCAAACCAAGGACCCTGGTCAATCCAAGAGGAACCCACCCTGGTCAATCCAGGGAGATGGGACCAGCATGTTTCATGAACTATGTTCATATGGCATTGTCCTGGATTTTAACTTTAATCCTGTGAAACGTCAAACTTTTAAACAACAAGTAACAACAATGCAGGTTCACATGGGACCACAACAAGGATAGTTCCTAGTTTTAAACCTCACACGACTTCACATGAGGACCTCTCCCTCAACCCATGCTCATAGCTATTGAACTAACATAGCTTTTGATTTTTAAAACTTAAGTTTTAAAACCATGAGTGTGTCCTCTTCATACATAAACCACAGGGTATTGATATTCTAACAGTTTTTAACTACATGCTTAACTTTAATTTCACAACCTCTCCTGTGAACCAAGCTATTGCTTTCAGTATCATAAACTGGACATTACAAATCACATGGGCAGCTGTTCGATTTCAGATAAACAGATATTCATATCTCCACTGACCACATAAAAGTCCTGCTTGACCTCGAACCAAAAACAGAAGCAAAGAATCTTTGAGGTCAAATAGTCAAGCCATAGGAAATGTTTGATTGGGGGGGGGGGGGTTCTATGGGGGAGGAGTAGACAATGGTTGAATGGGGATGAATTGGCATTTGGTTTACAACCACTTCATTTTTTACTACCCAGTATACAATAAATGTTTACTCTTTGAAAGCAGGATAAATTACATGGGCAGCTGTTTTATCAGATGATGGGGATATTCACATCTTGATTGACCACATATATCCTGCTTGACCTTCTAACACAACTTCATAAATGTGAGATAAACAAATGGTATTTGGTTGTAGTGACAACGCCCCTATGGCCGGGAGAGGTGAGCTTTAGCAATAAGGGTATACAGGTCTTAACAAAACATGCTTATTTACTAAAGAAGTTAGCCTATAAATAATCTTTGTTTCATTTAGTTTCAAGGATGCCCCTATTATAGTCCTTCATATACAGTAGGCCTGTCTTCATATGCAGTTGTAAATTGAGCATATCTGACAGATAATGTATAAACATATATCAAGAAAGTGTTTGCCGAAATAAAATCTAAATTGTGTTGTGCAGTGAACTGAATTGTAAGCTGTCCGGGGCCTGCAAAAAGGCAGTAGGAACAATGAATTGCCAATGACAGTATTGAAATAGTACTAGCCTTCTTGCAGGCAGTTGATCCCTGTTGTCCACACACACAAAATTCATTGTATAGCTATCCCGAAACTGTTAAGTTACCGGTATACCGTTTCAGGATAGCCGTACAATGAAATTGTGTGTGTGTACGCTTACTAATGATACGTCAAATAAAGAAACGTTGTATAACGAAACGCGGGTCTGGTTATCGTTTCGAACTAGAAATCGATAAGGAATCACAGAATGTTTGGTGTGTGGACGTATGGTCAAACTAGAACGGTATAACTGGGCGGGGCTTAATGTGATTGCGCACGAAAGGAGACCTAACCTCTCATTTCCGCTTCATGACCGCGGCACAGCGCAGTAGTTAACTGTTGAGTTTCGAGATCACTTGTTCTTGTGTGCGGACGCCCTGT